GGTCTTTCCCATAGGGGCTGTTGCTGAGGAGCTGAGTCCAGTGAGAAGCAAAGTCACCTTCGTTCTCACCTGGGCTTACTGTTGCATCAGCTGTAGCAGTACAAGGCTTCATCGCAGCTACATGTACAATAATATAAATTTTTATAGAGCCCTTTACAACACTCAAGGCGACTATATTGCTTTACAATAAAATCACATGCAATTCATTCAAACATTAAAACATTATAAAAGCATTTTTTTAAAAGTCTCATTGTTCTAATGAGTGCTAAAAGCTGCTCTGAATAAACATGTTTTGAGCCGTGATTTAAATAGGCCAAAACCAGTAAGGACTGGCATGTCAGGGGAGTCTGGGTCCAAGGACTGAGAAGGAACGGTCCCAATATAGTAGTCCTATCTCCATTATTCAGATGTGATTTGGTTTTTGTGACGACAGTAGCTCAGTTGGTAGAGCATTGGCCTTAAGGCCAGAAGGTTGTGGGTTCAATTCTCCACCGACTCCCACTGATGACTGCTGTCGTTGTGTCCTTGGGCAAGACACTTAACCCCACTTTGCCCAAAGCCCCCGCTGGAAGATCTCAGCTCCTGTGGACTCACCACCTGCAGAGGATCAGTGAGGGGCTGGTGCTATGAGATTTGGGTGGCATCTCTGATTGCCACCCCCCTGACCCAGAAATGGATTAAAGGGTAGAAAATGGATGGATGGATGGATGGATTTGGTTTTTTGATTATTCTGTGATTTCAGGTCACATAATTCATATAAAGACTTTAAGATCCCTAGAAATGTCTCTCCATGATTATTAAGGACAGAATAACGATAACACGCTAACTACCAATCCGCGACAACCAATCAGAGAGCCGCAAAGTGGTCACGGGGACACAAGGCCGTCAGAGCAACACAACAGAAACAGCTAAAACAGAAGCTAAACCAGTGAACATTTGCCTCCAGCCTGAGTTCTGATTCTGCAGTGACTGTAAACTAGTGCCGCTATTGCGTTCGCCGATGCAGAAGTGCTGGTTAATAATAAGATCTACCAATGGTAAGCTCCGTGAACACATACTGCTGTTATATAAAGTCTATGAAGGTCTCAGACAGAGACGCTGGCGAGCTGTATTCATGGAAAAGAACTTTACACCAAAGGTTGCTAGCTTAAACCCGTTAGCATTCAAGCCCTCCCACTACTTCCATGCAACGGCGGTATGAACGCAGTATAATATTAGAAGATTAAGAGCTCGGTCAAAAGTCATTATTTTTGTTAATATTTTAATTATGTTTGAATTTTGAATTTTGTTTTCCCAGCCCTGATGTATAACAAGTCATCTCTATAAAGAGCCCGGGCATGACTTCAGATTTATTCGTTGGTCTTGTGGTGTTACATGCTCCAAGCTTTGAAGATAAGAGCAGAGAGAAAGCAGAGGGGACTTTTATTTTTATTTATCATGCCCCCCCCCCCCCCCCCCCCAGGACCCCACATCTGTCCATCTAGTAATGTCTGGAAGCACCTCTGTCCAGTTCACCTGGTGTTAAATGATGTCTGCTTTATTCTGGTGCGGTGCTGTCGAGGTTAGCTGCTTCCTCTGCGCCTCATTATGTGCTGTCATTCACAACATGTATATCTGTGGGGGAAGGGTGAGGGGTGTGGGGAGAGTGGACAGCTGTGTTTATCTAAGCCAGAGCTGTCGGTGGGTGCGGCTGTGTACTGCTTCTTTTCTACAAGGCTGACTTGACCTTAGGCTCTGTTTAGACAGAGACGCTGCAAAGCAACACCGCAAAATGACTCCCTGCTTTTGATTGGAAGTGCAAAGCGTCTACACGGCGACAGAAAACGATGTAGTTCTAGCGCCCGGCCAGTAGGGGGCAGTGGAAGTTTACGACGCGACATGTGCGACCCCCAGCAGTAAAACTAATTCCTCAACAACATCCTCCTCAGGTCAATGCAAAGATGGGAAAGAACCAACATCATTCTGTATTTAACAGCAGCAGCGAAAATGAAACTGAAACTACAGCTTTGTGTGGTTTTGTTTTGACAAAGGAGTAGAATTGCACACGTAGCATTAGTCGACCCGCCGCCATTGTTGTTTACGTTTGTTCTCGGCTTCTGCCCATGTCCAAATGTACGTGCACTGGGGAAGTGCTGAGGTCAGAGTTCACACCTTTTCCTTCACACGGCTGTTATACTGACCCCCGCGAGCAGCTTATCTGTTCTGCTTGACTCACGGTTTATAATTTTCTCTGGTATATTTTCCCAAATCGAACAAGATTTATAACATAAGATAGATAGATGTGATTTTTTTTTAAATAAAAACGGCAATTTTCATACAACTGTAAGAGTATTAGTAGTAGAAATATCAGTAGTAGTAGTTGTAGCAGCAGTAGTAGTAGTAGCAGTAGCAGTATCAGTAATTGCAGTAGCAGTAGTAGCTGTAGAAGCAGTAGTAGCAGTAGTAGTATTAGTAGTAGCATCAGTTGAAGTAGTAATAGTAATACTAGTAGTAGCAGTAGTAGTATTAGTAGTAGCATCAGTTTTAGCAGTAGTAATAGTAATAGTAATTGCAGTAGTAGTAATAGTAGTAGTAGTAGTAATGGTGATTGCAGAAGCAGTCGTTGTTGTAGCTGCAGTAGTAATAGTAGCAGTAGCAGTAGTGGCATTAGCAGTAGTAGTAATAGCAGTAGTAGTAGTAGTAGTAGCAGTAGCAGTAGTAGTAATAGCAGTAGTAGCAGTAGCAGTAGTAGTAGCAGTAGTATTAGCAGTAGTAGTACCACCCATTTCCTGATTTTTGATTTGGATTCTCACTTCCCCTTTTTCTTTATGACTATGGGAAGCTGTTGAAATATTTAGTCATCACACTTTTCACACACTTAGCCAGTGAAGCAGGTTTTTATCTGCAAGATCATTGTTACCCAACCTGCGGTACGCATACCTCAAAGGTTACTACAGGGGGTACTTGAAATTCACTATTTACTAATAAAACAATCACAACCAATGTTTTTTGGTGGAAATGTGAATGACAGCAAGTAGAAACAAGATATTAGATACAAGAGGACTGTGTGTGTGTGTGTGTTTGTGTGTGTTTGTTTTTGTGTCCCTGTATCTATACTAAAAGGTGGTACCAGGGCAAAAAGGTTGTAACACTGCGAAGGCTTTCAATCCTATATTTGATCGTGTGCTTTGACCCAGCCTCACAAAATGTTTACAGATTCCACTGGAAGTAAAACATCTGGCCTAAAAACAATTTCTGTGTGATGTTGTGAAAGCGGCGCATAGCAGCACAGTGTAAATAAGGCTCACATTTCCCTCTTTTCGTTTTAGAGAGCGTTAGACCACAGATTTTTAAGCCCAAACTGGTGTGTTTTTCTGGTTTCTGAGATAGAGACAAATGTTCTCCGTAAGCACTCTCCTATTGGGCTACATTGAGCTAATGCTGGAGTTGCTAACTGGTCAGAGAGTGAGCCAGAATCTCCAGGGGTTGGACTACCTATTTAACGTCATTTGGATAATTGGATAAAGATGATGATAATAATAATGTACACACACAGATGATAATAATAATAATAATATAGTGGCTCAGTTGGTAGAGCTTTGGCCTTTGAGCCTGAAGGTCGTTGGTTTGAACCCATCACGAGACCTTCTCCCTCGCCTCCCTCTGAGACTAGCCTAGCCCTTACCTTATCCCCAGATACATTTCCAATGCCTGCCCCAAACTTAAATCTTAATTAAAATGTGTGTTTTAAGTCTCATAAATGGCACCAAAAAGCGCCATACCAAGATTCTAGTAAGACATGTCGCTTCTAAAACTTGGAGTCAAAATAAGTCCATAAACTCTTGAACACAACTAGTTTTTCTTCCATATGTGAGCGTGAAATCCAGTAAGAGAGAGTCCAGTGGCTGTTACCACTGCTGCCTTTTACAACAGGCACTTGCGTCGGCCTGCTAAATCAAGATATAGATCATACAAAGATGGGTGTGTAAAGTTTTCTCACGCCTGTCTCTCTTTTAAGCATCCTGACGAGGAGGCCATGAGGCTCCAGGGGGCACAATTAGCACATAACATGATGCTAATCTGTATAAACTCTAAAAAGCTAGAGTGAGAAAAGTCAGAGACCATAGGTAGGGTTTTAGATACCTGACATAAAACCAAGAATTATGATATTATAGTTTAAACCTCTGTGGAGTCCTATCGTTTCCTGGGCACCACCATCACCCAGGACCTCAAGTGGGAGCCGACCATCAGCTCCCTCATCAAGAAGGCCCAGCAGAGGATGTACTTCCTGCGGCAGCTCAGGAAAGCCAAGCTGCCTGCACAAATGTTGGTGCAGTTCTACACGGCCATCATCGAGTCCATCCTCACCTCCTCCGTCACCGTGTGGTTCGCTGGAGCCACAGTCAGGGACAAACAGAGACTACAGCGAATTGTGCGCTCTGCAGAGGAAGTGATCGGCCGCAGCCTTCCATCGCTGCAGGACCTATACGTCGCCCGAGCTCGAGGCCGGGCTGGTCATATCACAGCCGACCCCTCTCACCCTGCACATGGACTATTCCAACCACTCCCCTCAGGCAGGAGGCTGCGGTCCATCAGGACTAGAACCTCCCGCCACAAGAACAGTTTCTTCCCCTCTGCTGTTGGACTCTTGAACACTTCTTAACCTGTCCCCCCGCCCTTTATAAAGTCACTTTACTGCCCATCATACGTCACTTTACTTCACTGTACTGCTGTCACCTTACATTGTGTGCACCATGTGCACTTGTATATTGTAAATAGTAACTGTAACTCTATTTTAAATTTACATTTATTCCTTAGAAGTGTTTTTTGTTCTTTGTTTTTTATTATCTCTCTATGACTGTTGCACTGAGCCAAAGCAATTTCCAAGTCTGTGACTTCCTGTTACTTACGTGGCAATAAAAAAAATTCTGATTCTGATTCTCTAAATTAGTAGCTTTTTGATTATTCACCTTTTTACAATGTTTTCTTTACCATTACAATTTAGATTTGGTTTTTTACAGGAGGCCAATCTCACGCTCCACACAGAACGTCCGGACCTTCCCCTGTGTTTTCAGCTCACCCTCCTGTCATGGCTTCCTTGTGTGTACCTGTGGGCCGCCTCCCCCTTCTACCTGTTCTATCTCAAGAGGAATCACAGAGGCTACATTATGATGTCCATCAAGAACCGCTTCAAAACGGTAATGGCTTCAAATCAACCCAGCCACACACATCGGATCAGACAGTAGACAGTAAAAAGGGTCGAAAAGGATTGGGTACTGACACTGGGATTGTAACTAGAAAATACTAGATCATTATCTATTCAGTAGAGCTTTGTCCTTTGAGCCTGAAGGTCGTGGGTTCAAGCCCACCATAAGACTTTCTCCACTGACTCCCACACTCTGCTGTCGTTGTGTCCGTGGAAAGACACTTAACCTCTGGGAACACCAGTCACAGTGGGGCGGCTGCGGCTGCCAAACTGCTGGTGTGTCCTTAGGCAAGACACTTCCCCCACATTAGAGTCTGGTGTGTGCGTGAATAGTTGGTGGTGGTCTGTCAGTGTGCCCCAGGGCAGCTGTGGCTACAGTAGTAGTTTATCTCCACCGTGTATGAAGGGAATTAATTATGACATGTGAAGTGTCTTTCAGTGTCCAATAATGCGCTATATAAAACCAATGCATTATTATTATTATTATTATAAAAAGTAGAGATGTCCCGATCACTATTTTTTGCCTCTGATTCCGATCCAATTGGTAAACTTCAAATTCGATCCAATTTTGAAGTCTCGATCAAATGCTTTTTATCACTGGTATTGTAAATTATAAAACAACATGATGGTTCGCTCCAAAATGGGTCACATTCAAGCTAATATGGGCCTTTCAGCTTGTACAAAATATGTTTGAATTTCTTAACGTTGCTCCACTTTTATTCTGACATACACCTATCGTCTCCGTTGTGAAAACCCGTCACGACTCTGATAAAACTCCCGTTCCCGCTGTAGACATTTCAACATGTGACCAAAACACGGAGCCGCAACAGGAATAAGCCTTGTGTTTGTTTATTTGAGAAGACAGCAGATGTGACGTTCCCCCCCTTTTAACCAGGCCTTTGTTGGGTCTCCTCTGTCGGGTCAAAAGGAGCTCTCTGGATGCACTTACATGTACAGTAGATAGCATCTGGTGATATGTGAGAATGCAACAGAGTCAGGTCAACACGTTTATTTACAGGTACTTTTAATATGTCATAACTGTTTTCCTTCAAAATTGGGGTCAAAAAAAGTCTCTACATTTCGAAAGAGTCAGTAGCGCTTTTCTGTCCATTATATTTTTCAGTAAAATAAAGGATCATTTTTGCTGGCTTTAATTGATCGTCTGGTAATTTTGATATCCACAAATTATTTAAAGTAGCAATATGTAAGATCTTCATGTCAAGTCATCATTAAAGGGCCCTAATCTGTCAAAGACATTAATAAAACATGCTCTTTTCCAATACTTCTTTAACTGATAACAGTAGTTCAGGCATATTTGAATTTCAACATTAGTTTTACAGCCCCTAAATCATGTTATTGTTTTCATTTTGATGTTACGCCCTCCATCGTTTCACCAATAAGAAAGTCTGTGATCTGGGTTGCCACATCTCACCGCCTCGATCTAATCTCACTGGTAAAGTAACATGTGGCCGCAGAACTAAAAAAGGTCTCGTTATGATTCTCAAATCATTAATGACAAAACAAGGAATAAAGCCAGGATTTCTATCTTTGTGAAAAAGGTGTTGGTTATGGATTTGTTGTTGACAAAACTCTTCATTCAGAAATTATGGTCCTAGCTGCATATCTGGCAACCTGAGTCAGGGAGAGTGCAGTACCACTTCTGGCCAAATTTTTACAGACTGCTCCTTTAACAAACCCTGCAAAAGGCCTTTAAAGCTGTTTTGTTTAGCTGTGCATCCTCTCTTTAGTCTACTATGATTTCTGATGATTTTAATGTCTTGTGTGATTGTTTCTGTCTTGATTTGTTAAGCAACTGTGCTTTACAAAAAAACTTTCCTTGCCAATAGAGATGTACTAATATTCTTTATTTCAAATGAAACCAACCACATCAGAATGAGTCTGGTGTGTGGGTGAATCGTTGGTGGTGGTCTGAGGGGCAGATGGCACAGACTGGTGGCCTTGCTTTTTTAAGTGTACCCCAGGGCAGCTTTAAAGTGTCCAAAAAAGCGCTATCCTCGGACAAAAATGACCACAGTCGATTAAAAGTAGAAGAACAATACAATATTTAGGGTCCAAAAGGGTCTAAATTACCCTGGGCTGGTCAAGTTTGGAAAAATTATTAAATATCAGCAATGTATTTGGGTATTTTGTTTATTAATCAATTTGACTGAAGGATAGCACAAGCGTTAAAACCAATGCATTATTATTTATTGTCAAAATTACTGTAATTAAAGTGGATTTTAATGTGCGCTGGGTATTGCCTTTAATCTATTGTCTTTTGCTGCAGGTTTTCGGCTTGTTACTTTGGGTCGTGTGCTGGGCGGATCTCTTCTACACATTCCATCTACGCCAAGAAAGCAGCCCAGCTCCAGTTTTTTACGTGACTCCTCTTGTACTCGGGATGACCATGGTAACGACAGATCCATATCTCATCAGTGTCGCTTGGAGTCTTGTGGTTACTATATACAGAGTGTTTTTGCGATCCACTGGTTAAACTGTGCATTTGTTGGAATATGGTAAATAAATGCGAGTAGAATGTGAATGCTTTGTTTTTCAGGATCAGATTTACTAAGCACTAAGAGCATTCTGGTCATAATATTTCCCATTCCAAGATTATAATAGGCTTTCTTTAAAGAAGCTTTTAAAGCGTGCCAACATACATTTGTCAACAGATAAAGCAAGGCCATTTCAGGTCATGTTAAATCTCTCAGAACCAAAAGGCATCTTGTTTTCACTTAAGAATAAAGCCGGTCTTTCAGGGATAACTGCGCTAGGACTACCCCCACTCCCACCCCCCCGTAGGAGACCGAGGTGATGTAAGGTCTGTGACTGTCCATTCAGCCAACATGCGTCTGTGGACTCTGACCTCCGCAGAGACGAACTGAATCCAAATCACATGATGTTGTGTCTGCAGCGTCCGGTGAAACCAACACACTTTTCTGATCCCTGCAGTTCAATCAATTCAAATTATTTGCTTTTTTTTTTTTTTTTTATTCAACTCACTTTATTCTTGCATTGCCCTAAATCCCAACAATAGATATCTTGGAGGATTTTACTGTCGATTTGCCAACACAGATCAGAGAATCAAACACAGGGAATGATAAAAAACACATGGAGCCATTGGTTTGTTTGGACTCAGGTTGTAGAACGAGGGCCGAGGCAATGTGATGTACTGTATTTCAATCTGGAGAGACTCGAACAGACAAAACATGAGAATTATTAGAATTGTATATTGTTTGGGAAGTAATCTGACACTACATAAATGACACATACGACTCTGAGGACAGTATTTAAAAGATGACATTTATTGTGGTTAGGATCTGGCGCTTCGACCCCGGGAGAGCTCTGCACGACTGCAGAAGGGGAAAGAGATTATGAGATGAAATCCCCCGGGGCCTAGAGCCTGGTGGTGGTAGTTTAGGAGAAGGATGAAAGAGCCGGCCCGGAACGAGGGCCTAGTATAGTACACTTTAGCAGCTCAACACGACTCACTTTGTGTAATAATAATTATGAATCACATTTATAAAGCACCATATCTGTATAAACACGTCTCAAGGGGCTGCAGCAGTTTAAAAACACAATAAAGGCAAGTACAAATAGAGAATAAGAGTGTGAGAACGTGCAAACTGAGGCACCGTTTACACAGAGAGGCTGCGACGGTAAAACGATAGAGTTGGCTTTCGGATTGGACCTTTCGAAACCCCGCAAAGCTGTAGTTGCAGTTTCCATTTTTCCTGCTTCTGTTAAATGCAGAATGATGTTGGTGCATTCTTTTAGTGGAGTCGATGTGAAAACTAAAGTAACCAGTCCAGCCGCTCTCTTTCAGTTGCTGGCCACCCTTCTCATCCAGTTGGAGAGGTTACGTGGCGTCCAGTCCTCAGGGGTCCTCTTCATCTTCTGGTTCTTGTCTGTGTTGTGTGCCATTGTGCCTTTTCGCTCCAAGATCTTACAATTGTATAGCCAGGTGAGTGTTGAGATGAAGAATAAAAACGGCAATATAAAAAAATAAACACCAGGATCATAGAGAAAGCTAAATCACAGTTTTTTGAATAAGAATGCATCGTTTTTAGACGCTCAAAGACACTTCACATGTCATTATTCTTTCATTACATACACAGAAGTGACATTCGCTCCATACACAGTAGTGATAAACTACTACTGTAGCAACCGCCCTGGGGCACATTCACAGAAGTGAGGCAACCAGTATGTGCCATTGGCCCCACTAACCCTTCACACACACACACACCAGACACACCAGGACACAACCACAGTTTGGCACTTTACAGCCGCAGCCGCCGCACTGTGGCACCTGTGTTCCCAGCGGTCTCCCATCACAGTATTAACCAGGCCCTGCCCTGCAAAGCTTCAGAGGTCTGATGGGATCTGGCTTTTCCCACTAATGGGACGAATGGGCTTTATTGGCTTTATCGGCTACTCCACCTGTGCTGCTGTGACCTAAAGAGCTGTTGCTGATTATTACTATTGTTATGTTTTTAGAATGATCAATTTTATTTTCATTTCTGCTGCTACTAGACACCTGAATTTCTCCTACGGGGATCAATAAAGTATCTATCTATCTATCTATCTATCTATCTATCCATCTATTGAGCAGTGTCCATCTCTGTACAGTCTATGATTGAGGATTGATCCATTCATAGCGCATTTGAATATATTAACATGTAAAATGTATATCACAAATGCAATACTAATCATTCCATTCACTCTGCTGTGACTTTTCAGAGTGAGGAGAAAGCAGACACATTCAGCCTGATCACGTTTTACGTCTACTTTGCCCTGATCCTGTGCGAGTTGATCCTCTGCTGCTTCAATGAGAGACCTCCGCTGTTCTCCAATGTGGTCACTGACCCGGTGAGTCCGCGCACCACTGTCTGAGCAACGTTTTGAGTTTTACTGGACAAACTACCCACCTGTATTGTCAGCTCTGATTCAAACCCTGAGCAACAAAAAAATCTCCTTGAACCAGAAAAAACAGCCTGCTCATTTAATTTGTTTATTCATTTCAAAACATGCACGAGACACAAACAATTATTCACAGGAAAATATGATCGTAAGAGTAAAGAGTTTTTTACCATCTTTATCAAAAGCTGAGCCTGATCTTGCTAGCTTTTTATTTTTGTAAAATGTTTCTTCAAATGAAAGAACCCATGAAACTTCTGTCCAAAATAAGAAATGAAATCCTTCAGCCACAATGTCTCTGCCAAACCAATCATACCAGTAAACTAGTACCTAAATGATCTACCAGAAGGCACAAACCAGGAATAGACCAGAACAGGACCACTCTGTTACCTTGACAGCCAAAGTACAACATCAAAACAACCCCATATTTAAAGTAGCAATATGTAAGATTTTCATGTCAAGTCATCATTAAAGGGCCCTAATCTGTCAAAAGGCATTCATAAAACATGCTCTTTTTTAATACTTCTTTAACTGATATATATAGTTCAACCAAGATATGAGAAATGAGTTATTGTTTTCATTTCGATGTCCCGCCCTCCACTGTTTCACCAATCAGAAAGTCTATGATCCGGGCACCAGAACTCACCGCATCAAGCTAATCTCACTGGTAAAGTACAATGTGGTCACAGAACTAAAAAAGGTCTTGTTATGATTCTCAAATCAACGACAAAACAAGGAATAAAACCAGGATTTCTATCTTTGTGAAAAAGGTGTTGGTTATAGATTTGTTGTATATTCAGCTATTATGGGCCAGCTGGATTTGTCTGCATATCTGGCAACCTGAGTCAGGGAGAGTGGGAGTGGTTGCAGTTTGTGTGGGTAGAGTGTGATTCAGCTTATGCAAAATTGTTCTGATGAAAGCCCAGTGTAAAAACATGTTGGAATTTGAAGTTATAACTGGGATATGGAACAATCTATTGATTTACATTTTGATACAAACCCCTGCTCTGAAAGGAGTTGTCGCCAAGACAGCAGCACCGTGTATCGCTCACACCAAAGAACCAAAAACATTTACAGTACTTTCTGGACTATTCCACACATCTGTAAACAAACCGCACCAGCTACATTTGAAAAGGAAGTACATTTTGTTCACACATACAGTAGATTGCACCTAAATATAAGCTGTGAGTTGCTGACAGACGACTGTTTAGACACACTGTTAAGATAAGATCAGATAAACTTTATTGATCTCACAATTTATATGTCACATTTGGCATAGATAGAATCAAAAATACATGGAGTGTGCAATAAGATAAGAGTTCCTTTATTTGTCCCACAGTGGGGAAATTTCGTTGTTGCAGCGCACATACAGGACAGTAGTAAGAGCACACAGGGATCACACAATATATACAAAATTAGCAGTAGCTATGTATCTTAACTAGCATAACTGGCTGTAGATGCTGGAAATGCTTCAATACCAGTCAACAAATAAGTTTAAGGTTAAGAACATAGTCTGTGCTAGCCTGGTCATACCACACCATAGTACAAATGGCATTTCGTACTAAGGTCTGAAGGTTCTCCATTGAGCTCTGTTAACAGGTGGGAGGGGTTAACTCCTTTTGCAGATTGAAACGATTAGTTTACAGTGACGTGTGTAGTGTGCCCGGGTGAGTCGTTAGCATTTAGCATTTAGCCTTTAGCCTAGCCATCTCCTTTGCCGCTAATGGAGCCCGTGGGGAGTAGCGCCACAATTTTTCCAGCGATTACATTTGCTAAACATTCCTCTTGCTCCGGCTTCAATTTCTTGATAGAACCAGACCGGATTACTTTACTATCGCATTCTTCGCCATTGCCAAACTACAACGTTCCCGTTCGACACAAACTCTTGACGTCACCAACAACCAACTAAAACACCTGCCTTCCGCGCTCTCTGAATGGTCGGTCGAAATTCAACCGATTGTAATCGCTAACACAGGGACCAGACCCAGACGTTACATGCAGTGAAATGTTGATTGAACGGAGTGTGCGGATGGCTAAGGCCAGGCTAAGTCTGTGCTGGATATATAATGTATGCAAAGTAGCTATACAGTAGCAGCGCTGCTCACGATTCATGATGATCAAATAGTTCCATGTATTTCCCTGCATTTTCTGGTGTTGTCCCTCTCTACTGTTCACATAAACATTCAGAAGCATGAATGAATGTGTGCTATATCACCAGCTGCTGAACACCTTCCCTTTCGCCAGCACTCTAGTATGATAAAATACTGTACAAAGAAAAGTTGATGGATGGATTGACACACACTGCACAGATACAGATACTCACCTCCACTGCCAGCAGGGCTCACAGACACCGCTGCCTTCTGGGTACATTTAACTGTGTGTATGGCTCTATGTGAAACTCTTAAAGGAATATAATGGTTTAAACTTTGGCTTGGGTCAGTCTCATGCACTGTTGAGGAGCTAATGGCCTGCGACAGTGTGTACTCAGTTGCTTCTGCTTCTCCTCACACGACCTCCGCTAACCTACTTCTCTATTACTCCATTTCTCCACAGAACCCCTGCCCCGAGAACACTGCCGGCTTTCTGTCCTCCATGACCTTTTGGTGGTTTACCAGGTTTGTTCAACTCCCCTCACTGCAGGACTCGGCAAATGTGGTCTCGTCCATTGTGTGAAATGTAGCACTGTATTTACAGAGACAGGTGAAAGGCTCATAGTTGGTCTTCACTGTGCTATCTTCCTATTGCCTCATCGAACTGCACTGTCTATGCAAATCCCCATTCCAGCCTGAGATCCACAAGCACAAATAAATGAATACTGGTTGTTTACTTTTTCACCCTGCGGATGATTGGTTATGATCAGATTTGCGCTTCACCTCTATACTACAGCATCACCGCAATAAATCAAAATTTAATAAACACACAGCAATGATTTGACTGTCGAATAATAGGGATAAACCCTTTGGCCATATATTAGGAGTAGTATTAGTGTTGGCCTTTCTTCCGCAGTGTTAGCTTTGTGCCAACATTAACATTTCACAACTTTTATTAAATACAAGCTAAATTTTGAAAGTAATTTAATCTTTCTGAAAAAGAGAAAAATCCAACCCAGGTAACTTTGGCCTTCAAACCTGCCTGATTACATTTTCTCAAAACTTGTGTGTTTGATAGAACATCAAACTAACGCTAAACTTAACTAAACTGGCAAGGCAAGTTTTATTTGTATAGCACAATTCATACACAAGGCAAAGTGCGGAACAGAAAAAGACAGAAACAATACAACGTTAAAATCGTAAATGAACACAGTACCTTCAAAAAAGTTTAAGGTATAAAGAAGGATTTTTTACTTCCGGGTGGATCATCAAGACTATAGGCCCTCCTTACTCTCAATCATTCTGGTGATACGTGCTCGTCCAATAAGACCAGAGAGTTTTGTTGAAAAAGTGGAGAGGGCGGTTCTTTCCTAATACAGTGCCTTGCGAAAGTATTTGGCCCCCTTGAACCTTTCAACATTTCGCCACATTTCAGACTTCAAACATAAAGATATACAAAATACATTTTTTGTCATGAATCAACAACAAGTGGGACACAATCGTGAAGTGGAACAAAATTAATTGGATAATTTAAACTTTTTTAACAAATAAAAAATTGAAAAGTGGGGCGTGCAATATTATTCGGCCCCCTTGCGCTAATACTTTGTAGCGCCACCTTTTGCTGCAATTACAGCTGCAAGTCGCTTGGGGTATGTCTCTATCAGTTTTGCACATCGAGAGACTGGAATTCTTGCCCATTCTTCCTTGCAAAACAGCTCGAGCTCAGTGAGGTTGAATGGAGAGCGTTTGTGAACAGCAGTCTTCAGCTCTTTCCACAGATTCTCGATTGGATTCAGGTCTGGACTTTGACTTGGCCATTCTAACACCTGGATACGTCTATTTGTGAACCATTCCATTGTAGATTTGGCTTTATGTTTTGGATCATCGTCCTGTTGGAAGATAAATCTCCGTCCCAGTCACAGGTCTTTTGCAGACTCCAACAGGTTTTCTTCCAGAATGGTCCTGTATTTGGCTCCATCCATCTTCCCATCAATTTTAGCCATCTTCCCTGTCCCTGCTGAAGAAAAGCAGGCCCAAAGCATGATGCTGCCACCACCATGTTTGACAGTGGGGATGGTGTGTTCAGGGTGATGAGCTGTGTTGCTTTTACGCCAAACATATCGTTTTGCATTGTGGCCAAAAAGTTCGATTTTGGTTTCATCTGACCAGAGCACCTTCTTCCACATGTTTGGTGTGTCTCCCAGGCAAACTTTAAACGAGACTTTTTATGGATATCTCTGAGAAATGGATTTCTTCTTGCCACTCTTCCATAAAGGCCAGATTTGTGGAGTGCACGACTGATTGTTGTCCTATGGACAGACTCTCCCACCTCAGCTATAGTTATCTGCAGTTCATCCAGAGTGATCATGGGCCTCTTGCCTGCATCTCTGATCAGTCTTCTCCTTGTTTGAGATGAAAGTTTGGAGGGACGGCCGGGTCTTGGTAGATTTTCAGTGGTCTGATACTCCTTCCATTTCAATTTAATTGCTTGCACAGTGCTCCTTGAGATGTTTAAAGCTTGGGAAATCTTTTTGTATCCAAATCCGGCTTTAAACTTCTCCACAACAGTATCTCGGACCAGCCTGGTGTGTTCCTTTGTCTTCATGGTTCTTTCTGCGCTTTAAACAGAACCCTGAGACTATCAAAGAGCAGGTGCATTTATACGGAGACTTGATTACACACAGGTGCATTCTATTTATCATCATCAGTCATTTAGGACAACATTGGATCATTCAAAGATCCTCACTGAACTTCTGGAGTGAGTTTGCTGCACTGAAAGTAAAGGGGCCGAATAATATTGCACGCACCGCTTTTCAGTTTTTTATTTGTTAAAAAAGTTTAAATTTTCCAATGAATTTCGTTCCACTTCACGATTATGTCCCACTTGTTGTTGATTCTTGACAAAAAATTTAAATTTTATATCTTTATGTTTGAAGCCTGAAATGTGGCGAAATGTTGAAAGGTTCAAGGGGGCCGAACACTGTATCCTCCTATATACTTTTAAGTTAAAATCCCTCAGTTGTATGCACAGCTAAACACAACTAACCTTAACCCTAACCCTTTTTTTTTACCTTTATTGAACCAGGAAAGTCCCATTGAGATTAAGAACCTATTGTTCAAGGGAGTCTTGGACCAGAGGCAGCAAAGGTTACACACAGTTACAGATTATAAAAACAGTTACAAGTCAATGAGGACGTCTCGCAGTCTGGACTTCAGAGCATTCAATGAAATAAGTAACAATAATAACACATACCATTTAAAAGGAGCAGCATATACAACAGGCTTTTTTCCAAACCGTAAGAACCAACATATGTTTAATGTCAGATTTAAGAGGGCAGTAGACCAAGCACCGCCTCATAAACAAGAGTGCAGCAGTGTCCTGAGCTCCTGGACGACCATCACACTCCTATAATTCACAAAGATGAGTCAAGGTTTTACAGTTAAAAATGAACCTCAGAGAAGCAGATCTGATGTCGGAAGAACATTGAGTTCATATATATCAGGTCTGAATCATCTATGTTGCAGTGACAAGCCGCTTTTTCACATATCAAAAAACATAATGTATTAAAAAAAAGCCCAACCTAATAAGATTGTGAGTATGGGGTTTGAAGGTGAGAGTGTCATCACGTCAGACACCGAGGTATTTGAACTTTGTCAGAGAAGAAGCCTTTTCAGGACCACTACCATATTTGTCCTTCTATCCATTCATTTTCTTCCGCTTTATCCAACGCCCGGGTGCGGAGGCCCAAACCTCGCTATCCACACCTATTGTTTTGTAAGAAGTGGTAATCGAGTGGTGATTCTAGCTACATATTTGTAGGTTTGATGTTTGTTATGTTGGGAACTGTTGAAGACCCGCTGAAAGTGTCTCACTCATGGGACACTCATGGGACCCGGACCCCACGTTGGGATGCACTGGTGTAGCCTAATGTGTAGAAGAGAAGTAGAAGTCTGCCGTCGTCTCGTGGAGCTTAAGTGGAACGCTCCTCAAGTTCATGTCCGGTGAAACGTGATCCACTCATTTTGTGGTGATAATTAGCATGTCTGGGAAATGCAATCGCAAGTAATTTAATTTAGAGCAGGAGATGGAACATACAGTACACAGTCAAGCCAGGACCATGCATCACCATTACACGCTTACTAGGCTCCAGTTTAAGTGCAGATTATTGCTCTGTTTAGTGGCAGAGGTCATCTATTAGGAGAGGACTAGGTCAAGGTCAAGGTCAAGGTCAAGTTTATTTATAAAGCACATTTAAAACAACAATGCTGCCCAAAGTGCTGTACACAAAAATACATGTATATAAAATACACAATTTGAATATAATAAAATTAAAATACAGATGCGGAAAAACAAAAATCAACACCAGCAAAGAAAAAAAGTCCTGCTCAGTTTTAATTAAAGGACTTCGCAAACAAATGGGTCTTCAACATAGACTTAAAAATGCCTAAAGACTGGGCTGCCCTAATATTTAAGGGGAGACCATTCCAAAGCGTCGGAGCCGCGACAGCAAAAGCCCGGTCTCCTCTGGTCGACATTCGTGACCTCGGTACGTCTAACAGAAACTCGTTAGCTGACCTCAATGTTCTGCTCGGAGTATGAACAGACAGAAGCTCAGAAAGGTACGCAGGAGCCGTCCCATTCAAACACTTAAACACCAACAACAGCATTTTAAACTGAATTCTGTATTTTACAGGGAGCCAATGTAAAGAGGCCAACACAGGGGTTATATGTTCAAACCTTTTGGTTCCCGTGAGCAGACGCGCTGCAGCGTTCTGTACCAACTGCAGGCGATGGATCGAGCTTTGGTCTAGCCCACAATACAACGAGTTACAGTAATCCAAGCGGCATGTTATAAAGGCATGAATCACACTCTCCAGATCTCTATGTGGTAAATACGGCTTAATTTTACTCAGAAGACGCAGTTGGTAAAAACTTGACTTTACAACTGAACCTATTTGCTTGTCCAACTTAAAAGATCCATCTAGGACCACACCAAGGCTCCTGGCTGACTGGTGACAGTAGCCTTTTAGTGGGCCAAGAACAGATGGATCAGACAAATTTCCAAAAACGACAATTTCCGTTTTAGATTCATTAAGTTTTAGAAAATTCTGGGCCAACCAGTCCTTTACATCCTGAATACAATGTAACAGAGCTTGGATGCCGTCTGAACCTGGTTTCAATGGCAGATAGACTTGCAGGTCGTCTGCAAAACAATGAAAGGGAATCTTATGTTTTTTGAAAATAGATCCAAGGGGCAACAGGTACAGTGAGAACAATAAAGGACCTAAAACTGAGCCCTGTGGCACTCCGCAGCTCAGTGGGGCCGCATCTGAGCTGTAAGGTCCCAGGTGGACAGAGAAGGAGCGATTTTCAAGATATGATCTGAACCATTTTAGGACCGTTCCTCCAATACCAACATGGTTTTCAAGGCGGGAAAGCAGTATTTGATGGTCCACCGTGTCAAACGCTGCAGTTAAATCTAAAAGCACTAAAATAGTGGGGTGACCCGAATCAACATTTAAAAGAAGGTCATTAAAAACTCTTAAGAGTGCAGTTTCAGTGCTATGACACGGTTTAAAACCCGACTGAAATTTTTCAAAGAGGCTATTTGCTTCCAAGTGAGACTGAATTTGGGCGTGAACCAATTTCTCCAGAACTTTTGATAAAAAAGGCAACTTAGAAATTGGCCTGAAGTTAGACAGAACTTCAGGATCTAAGCTATGTTTTTTAAGTAGAGGCTGGACAGCAGCATGCTTGAAAGCACTTGGGACGCTGCCCGAGATCAATGATGAATTAATAATTCTCATTATAAAGGGCCCAATCACACTGAAGGAGTCTTTAAGAAGTTTAGACGGGACACAGTCAAGTGGACAATCAGAGGGTTTTAACTGGCGCACCACAGTAGACAGCTCATCAAGTGACACAGAATCAAAATGTTCAAGGACCACAGAACAAACAGACTTCACAGAAGGGTCCACAGCAGCACAATGTAATGTAGAATCCCGAATAGCAGATATTTTATCCACAAAGAATCTTTGAAAATTGACACACAAAGTTTCTGATGGTACAATGCCACTGGATTCAGTGGGATTCACAAGGCGATTTAAAACAGTAAAAAGAACTTGTGGTTTGTGACCATTTGTAGATATCAGGTTTGACATGTACTCAGTTTTAGCGCATTTTACTGCTCTTTGATAATTAGACAAACAATCTCTTAAGATGCCCAGGGAAACATGAAGTCTGTCCTTTTTCCAACGCCTTTCTGCACGTCGGCACTCACGCCTGAGCGCGCGCGTGGTGTCATTTAGCCAGGGCTGGGACTTACTCTTAGGCTTACATGTATTATAAGGAGCAACTAAATCCAGAATTACAGTACACGTAGACGTAAACAAACAAGTTAGCGCATCAGTATCAGAGTCACACGACAGTGAAGGCGCAGCAGAAACAAAGGCATTAGAGAATGCCTCTGCTGTAGAGGACGTGATTACGCGTCGCCTGCGCGCTATGGCACATGGAGCCAAAAGGCAGGGAAGATTCAGTGAAAACAAAACAGGTATATGATCCGAAATCTGTGTATTACAGAGATCCTCAATGCGTACAGTCAAACCATAAGATAGAACGAGATCGAGTGTGTGCCCCTTTTCATGCGTGGGGCCACTGACCCACTGCGTCAGATTAAAAGAGTCAATCACAGTTTTAAAATCCTTGACCAAAGGCTTGGAGTCACAACAGACATGGATATTAAAATCACCAGCTATTAGAAAATGGTCAAATTTAAGAGCAATTCCTGCTAAAAAGTCCGAAAAGTCCACGATAAAATCTTTATTGAATTTAGGCGGACGATAAATGAGCGCGCACAACACAGGCACGCTACGCTGTATCACGAATAGCTGCAGTTCAAAGCTCGAAAAGGAGTTTGATGGATACTGACGGCATTTAAGAACAGAATTAAATACAGTGGCAAGCCCTCCACCTTTGCCAGAGGTACGAGGAGTGCTAATAAAGTCACAGTCAGGAGGAAGGAGCTCAGAAAAGGCTGCACACTCACCGGGCCGAATCCAGGTTTCTGTCAAAAGCATTAGATCCAAATGACGAGATACAAAAAAATCATTGAGTACGAAGGTCTTATTCGCCAATGATCTGACATTCATTAACGCAATATGAAGAAAGTCCTCATTGTTAGGCATGCGGGCATGAGTTAGCATGCAAAGGTTTTCCTGGTTTACTCCTGGGCGGCTAGCTCTGCGTCTCCGGGGACTGATCCACTCCAAAGACTAAACCAGTGTCTCTGTGATGTGGAGAAGTGTGGACTCTGGGAACTGTGCTGCAGAGAAGGCAACTCCAGAGTCATGTAAATACCAATATTCATTGTGTCTGCATGACCCTATGGCCGCTCACAGGGATAACCGTATTAATTCCAACCTACGTACACCAGACTACACCCATATCTTCAAGTGAGTCCAGTTTTAACCTGTAGATTTGAGGAAATGGGTGGAGTCTACAATGCCCCTGCTCAGGTTGGAACTAAAACCCGTGGGTTAGAAAGAAGTGGTCATGGCTCCAACTCGCTCTGGATGTTTTTTATTCATTATATTAAAAGTTAGTTGCTAGCTCGTTGCTACAAACACCATGTGGCTTCAAATTCCTAACTAGCTCTCATTGGCTTTTCCTGCAATGACGCAAACCCCATTGGTGACGTCAGTTGTTACAACTTCTCTTCTATGGTTCCGACCCACCCAACCAAAGTCATGACTTGGGGAAAGAAATGACCACTCACACTTAAAGTTTAATTGGACTTATTTAATTATTTATTTGTTTTGTTTGTGTAGATTGATGTGTTTTTGCTGCTACTGGACACCTGAAATTCTCCTACAGGGGATCAATAAAGTATCTATCTATCTATCTAATTACAGTACATGTTTTTCTTTTACAGTATGGCAATTAAGGGCTACAAAAATCCCCTGGAAGCCAAGGATCTGTGGTCCCTAAACCAGCGGGACAGCTCCAAAAACATGGTTCCCAAACTGTTGAAAGAGTGGGACAAGGAGCTGGCCATAGCCAAAAGGTAATTCCCTTTCAGCTTCATTCAATAATTTCACTCCAGAGATTCTTATATTTCCTCATCTCGTAGCAGCGTCCCAAGTCTTTCTAGTCAAGCCCTTTACTCAAAGCCACCGCCGTCTACAACTAACCATGTGGGAGGAGCAGCGGAGAGCAGCCCGGAAAAAGCAGAAGTCCTTTTGTCTGGGAAGAAATCCTCCTCCCGACAGCCATCTTTCCTCCGAGCTCTGGTCAAAACCTTCGGCCCCTATTTTCTCATTGGTTCGTCCTTCAAGCTCCTGCAGGATGTCGTCACCTTTGTCAATCCACAGCTCCTGAGGTGAATACTGCTCATGTTGTCCTGATGATTTGGTTAAAGGTTGCACAGGCTTTGGTGTAACACACAACATTTACATTTCACAACTTTAGCAATACTTGACACTCTTGTATTTCATTAAAGTTTGAAAGTCATTCAGTCGCAGGGATTGAATTGTTTTTACAGCTCTCTTTCTGAACAAGAGAAATCCAGCCCAGTTAACTTTGACCCTCAATGCAGACTTAACCTAGGTTCAAAACACGCTACGCTATGCTACGCTACGCTATGCTATGCTATGCTATGCTATGCTATGCTATGCTATGCTATGCTATGCTATGCTGCTAAATGGTGAGATATGAAGAATATACAGCCTGAAGGCGGACATTTTGGGAGACGGATACAATTGAAGTACAAACACCAGCCTGCACTAGTTACCAACATGAATGACACTCCATTCCCAAAACTTGAAAAAAGATTGATTTTATTACATAAAACAAAAAACAAAAAAACAAAAATCTCCTAATACTGCTGCTACTGATACTGCTACTACTACTACTGCTACTGCTACTGCTGCTAAGACTGCTACTGATACTGCTACAACTACTGCTACTGCTACTGGTACTGCTGCTAATATTACTGCTACTAGTACTGCTAATACTACTACTGGTACTGCTACTACTGCTACTGCTACTAGTACTGCTACCACTACCTACCACTGCTACTTATACTGCTGCTACTACTGCTACTACTACTACTGCTACTAGTGCTACTACTTATACTGCTGCTGCTGATACTACTACTACTACTACTACTGCTTCTAGTATACTACTACATTGCAAGATCATTTGTCAATAGTTCTCCAATAGTAAACGAGTACATTTTGCATACACACTTTGCATGTTGCTGCCCCTCGTCCAAAAGCGCTTGTGTTTCATAATGTGATGTGTGTGTCTTTCTTTCCCATGCAAAGCGATGTAAATGTGTTTACAGAGGATGTAAACGAAGATTTACTGTTGACGCCATGTCACTGTTTTATCAGGAAGATAAGTTATCATCAGAGCAGTGCTGGTTTTAACAGGGCAATGCAAATACGTGTTTGCTCTCACCATGGATTTATTATATTAACTTAAGATTAAAAGATCATTTAAAAGTATTGGGTTCTTCTATACCAGACAATATAAGGTTTTTGTGGTGTTATTACCTTGACATGTTTCGACAGATAACTTCCGTCTTCCTCATGAAGACCACACAATGTAAATACAGCCATTAAACCACACCGCAATTTAATACAGATGTTAGTCCACCCCAAGGACACATTAGAACCAGAAAGCAAATGCAACGTCATATATGAAATACCATGCAAATCATGCAAGCAGGCATATATAGGGGAAACGGGCAGGGCATTTAACACCAGAAAAAGTGAACACCCGAAAGAATGTGAGAAAGAGACGGCAATAAGACTAACCAGGACAGGAAGACAGAGGGCGCAAGAGGACAACCTAAAATCGGCAATATCAGACCACTGCTAACCAGTGGGGGCGGGTCCCGGCTCAAAAGTGGCCAAAATGATGTGCGCTGACGTGCTTGCAATACCACCCCGGGCCGATGGGGGTGGACCCGGAATAAGAATTGGCCAATGCTAACATATAGCCTCTTCTTACCTCTCAAAAACGTCTTTACAGGATGGTCCAAAAGTTGGCTCTTGGCCCAAAGCTCCGTTCCACATGTGTGTCAATGCTGAGGGGAGTGAATTTTTTTGGACCAGTCTATTTACTTGCTGTGAATTTTTGAAGTCACTCGTTTAAATGAATGGCGCTCGTGCCGACTGACGCATGCGCCCGTGGCCATTTTTAATCACTCTGCTTAAACACGTCTCCACATGGACAAGAAGCCACCCGGGGCTCTGTTGCTTACATTTACATGGGCTGTTTAGAACGTTTGAAAGAATGGAGATGACTCTGCACAGTTTTTAGCTTCCAAGAGATTATTTTATTTGGCACCACAAGATGTGACGTTTTGGGAAAGATTACCCTTTATCAGACACGCTTTTCTGATGATGATGGGTAATCTCCAAGTGGAAAAACGTGCCGTTTTAAACGCCATTTATTCCCCACATGCCGCTTTACACGCTATTTATTCCCCACATGCCGCTTTACACGCTATTTATTCCCCACATGCCGCTTTACACGCCATTTATTCCCCACATGCCGTTTTAAACGCCATTTGTTGTGTACATGCCACTGATCAGCTGTGGCAGGTGCCGGTGCCACAAAAGGAGCCTGCCCTTACTGGTAAAAGGAGGAGGGGGGACATCAACAGGAATCGTCCTCTCTCTTGGTCCTTTCAGTGCCTGTGTCTCTACTCGGCCATGTCTTGAGTTTCTATCGCCGCGTAATCAATAATGATTTATTTTACAGTTGTAACCGCTCCGGTTGTTGTGGTCTTTGTTTTTTTTTTTATAGTCCTGCTTCAGTTTTTTAAGCTTTTCACGGCATTGTTTTTGACTGCTAATTTACACATCACGCGTTACAGCACGTAAGCGTTATACGCGCAGCAGACGCGCGTAACTTTTTTCCATGTTAACCTATGATGATATTTACACTTCTAGCGTTATACGCGCGTATGACGGACGTATGACGCGAAGCTGCGCTCTAATTTAGGATGGATTTCTAATTTTGTGCGCGCACCAACGCGTCTCCCATTGAAATCTCAGGTAAAACATGATTTTTCTAGCGGTCCTTGGCTTTAGATTGCATCTACACACATACAGCACTTGTGTCTAAACATCAGCAGGAGGAGCAGCAGGTTTTACAGTGATTCTGGACATCGTTTTTTTTTCTTTCATAAAGTCTCGCGTCTGGCCAAACCAGCGCACAGAGACCATGAGGACAAACACATGCATGTGATTTGTGTTGCCCTACATCAGTCCTCTGTACTGTCCTCTACACTGCTCCATAGACTACACTGGGAGAGTATCAGAAGACGCGGACCTGCGCGCACGGCCAGTGTAGATACTGCAAAAAAAAATTTACGCACTGAGAGCGCGCAGTAAACGCGTACGCGCTGTTTACGCCTACTGTGTAAATTCCATGTTAGTGTGATGAATCCCCAGTGCTTCGAGGTAAAACTGATATGTCTAAATAAATCTTTTCATTTTGCCGCGAATAACTGCTATTTATCGTACATCTTGCTGTTGTTGTTTACTGTTTCCAGTGGCGTCCAGTCTAATGCTGCCTGGCTAATGCTACTGGGCTAATGCTTTATGCTTTTTATGCCCGAAGAGCGTGACTTCGGGCATAACATTAAGCTCAAAGGAAGAAAAGACGTGAAACCTTGAAAATAAAAATGAAAGCTTGAAAATGAAACCGTTGCCTTGTTCTTGTCCTAGAATGTTGATCTCGTTCACCAAACAGAAGGGCGTCCCGGACTGGTGGGGCTACGCTCTGGCCTTCCTCATGTTTTTCACGGCGCTGCTCCAGACGCTCATCCTACACCAGCACTTCCAGTACTGCTTTGTGACGGGCATGAACGTGCGCACTGCCATCATCGGCGCCATCTACAGGAAGGTACGCCGGTCGTCAATACAGAGAGGATATTGACTCCTCACCCTACTGCAATACTCGTAAACAGCCTCGCCACCTCCCGGGTGACTCCTTCCTGTCCGGTGTCCCTTAAAAAACTCTGACTGGCCCAAAACACAGCCCCCCACCCCGTAACCACATCACCCCTGTCCAAACCGGTTATCACTCACTGCATCCAATATAAAATCCTACTCCTCACATTCAAATCCACAATCTCGCTGCTCCATACCTGACTGACCTCCTCCAGAGCTCCACACCTGCCCGCTCTCTCCGCTCCTCCTCCTCTCTCCTCCTGGTCCCTCCTCCTCATCGTCAGCATGGGGAGTGTGGAGCCTTCAGCCGCTCGGCTCCCCAGCTCTGGAACCCTCCACCTGACCTCTGTAACACCTCTAGACTCATCTGTTAGACCTAGGCCAACTCACTTACACCATAACTACACCATCCACGGCTGTTTTTAATTTTGTTTAATATTTGTATTTGAACTTTTTTTTCAAATGTACTTTTTACTTGTATGTAAGATGATCTTGGGAGTCTAGGAATAAAATGCATTATTGTTAATATTATTATCCACACTGGAGACGTGTTTAAGCAGCAATTTCCTTTCCACATAACATACTGTAATTTCTGGACTAAATCCCTTGAAAAAATAAGAATGAAAATATATGAAAATAATAAATAAAAAAATCTGCCAATAGAACAATAAAACATTACCTACATGATTTCTGAAAATAAGAATATAATGCTAGCCCCCATTGACTTGATTCTAGTTTAAAAACATAAATGTCAAGTATTATTTTTGAGAAAGGTATTCTTAAAATATAGCATAACATACAAAACAACAAGAAAAGTTGTTTGGAAATAAGAATAAAATACTTAAAACAAGCTTTAGACTTTTTCTCTGATAAGATTATAAAGTATTATTATTTTAACACTAGTAAAACATTTTTGTTGTTGTTGCTTGAATGTACAGGTAGTTTGTCACGTATGTCAAACTACATTCATGCAACAACAAATTATAAGCCATTAAAAAATTAGCATAATGTATGTGATTATTTGTAAATAAAACTTACCAAGATTGTAGTTCTTTCAGTGCTAGTTTTTTCTAGTCCTTTAGCATTGCTTTTTGTTGCTGTTTTTCTTATTGTGGTGGAGTTGTCAGAGCAGAGTTTATGTATTTTTGACTCCATCAAGTTTAAGTTTAAGCAGCTATAGGACATTCATTTATTGCCAAACCCGACTGGTACAGGAGGCATGGAAGCTCCGAGCTCGACAGATAGATAGATAGATACTTTATTGATCCCCAGCAGCAGAAAACCCATCCATATAAACACATGGACATCAATTATAAACCTTTAGTGCATATTTTTTATGACAGACCTAAGGGTTAAGTTGTTAAACACATTGTCATCAAAATCATGTTATGACCAATTAAAACATATGCTTCAAAACAACTTAAAAACCTGTGGCTTATATTCAAGTGCGGCCCAAATGCGGACAAAATTAGAATACAGGTGTGCCTTATTTTCCAGAAAGTACAGTAATACAGCCATGTTTAGGAAGATTCGTCTTGTTTTAGTAGAATTAAAAGTATTGGATTCTTCTAAACCAGACAATATAAGGTTTTGTGATGTTATTACCTTGACATGTTTGGACGGATACTTCCGACTTCCTCAGAAGCGTCACACATGATCTTTATCAGCTGCTGACCCAGAGTTCATGAGGCGCTTCTGAGGAAGACAGAAGTATCCGTCCAAACATGTCAAATTAATAACATCACATCACCTTATATTGTCTGGACTAGAAGAACCCAATACTTTTAATACAGCCATGACTTTAACACTCTACTTTTTGTTTATGTTCTTTGATATGAAGCCAAAGAAATAAAATAGTAATACAATAGAATAGAGCGCCCCCTGTCTTCGACTTCTTTGACTCAGAATGTGTGTTGTCCACAGTCCTTGGCCATAACCAACGCCGCCAAGCGCTCGTCCACCGTGGGAGAAGTGGTGAACCTGATGTCTGTGGACGCCCAGCGGTTCATGGACCTCACCACGTTCCTCAACATGCTGTGGTCGGCACCGCTGCAGATCATGCTGGCGCTGTACTTCCTCTGGCAGGTAAACACTCACCGCCTTGAAAAAGAGGCCTTTTCAGATCACCAGAGCCAAAACATTTGAGCTGTGAGGGCGTCAGTCTCAATTGAAAGCTGTGACTGTCATGGTGTGGATTTTATTCTGACGTTAGTTCTCTGTCAGTTTGGTTTTAGTTTTACTTCCTGTTTCGTTCCCCTGTTGATTGTCTGCCCCTGATGTGTTTCACTTGTGTCTGTGTGTCTATATGTACCTGTGCTCTTCTAACCTTGTTGCTAGTTCATGTGTTGTCAATGTCTTTCCTGTTCAGTCCTGTTCCTGGTTCCTTTGGATTTCAAGTTTGTTTTTCCATGGACTTTATTTCTTCCTCATCATTAAATTATTATTTTTTGCATTTCTGCATTTTGAGTCCTCCTTCATCTCACCACGTGACAGTGACTCAAAACTGCCTCGAAAATAATTTTGGGAATTTCACTGGAGAAATTCTAGTGAAATTCACTTCTGGCTTTTTCCTTTGGCTGTCAGACTGTACAACAGATCTGTTGAACATGTGCACTATTGTTAGTTAGTTAGAAACTTTTAGATGTATATTCTGCTGCTGCACCTGAATTTCACCCACAGGGATCAATAAAGTATTAATTGCATATTAATAATAGCATGAATTAATCTCAGTATGTTTGCTATTGTTATTGAAGCTTCTCCACCGACTCCCACTGATGTCTGCTGTCGTTGTGTCCATGGGCAAGATACTTAACCCACTTTGCATATAAGGAGCGTGGAAGTAATGTTTGCTGCATGCCTTGATGTTTATATGTGTATTCATCAAACTGAAATTTTCCCCACTGTGGGACAAATAAAGGACCTTCAAAATATATATATATTTTTTAAAACTCTTTGGTCTTTTTTGACGAGCACGTATCACCAGAATGATTGGGACTTGATGAAGTAGAAGTAGAAAATCCTCCTATCTACCTTGAATGATTGTTTTTATTTTCTAAAGTCAGCTTATTTTTTGTTACTGTATGACAACAACACTTCTGTTTAAAGAAGGCAGCAGTTAAAGACACAGCCTTTGATGTTTTGCAGAACCTGGGTCCGTCTGTGCTCGCTGGTGTGGCTGTTATGATCCTCCTGATCCCACTGAACGCTTTTATCGCCATGAAAACCAGAGCGTACCAGGTATTCCCATCGTCATTAGTCTCTGGACTCACCACAGAGTTAATGATGTACCCTTTGCGTCCGCAGGTGGAGCAGATGCGTCACAAAGACGAGCGCATCAAGCTGATGAATGAGATCCTGAATGGGATTAAGGTTTTGAAGCTGTACGCCTGGGAGAAGTCCTTCATTGAAAAAGTCTTGGCGATCCGTCAGAAGGAGCTGAACGTGCTGCGCAGGACGGCCTATCTGGGGGCTTTGTCCACTATGGCCTGGACCAGTGCTCCTTTCCTGGTGTGATTGCTGTATTTTATCTATATATATTTATCTGTATACAAATATACTCCCATGTATAGTTTTTAATGTATATATACAGTGGGGCAAAAAACTATTGCAAATGAATTCTATCAAAATTAGATGTGATTTTCTGGATTCTTTTTTTTCCTCATTCTGTCTCTCATATTTCAACTATGATGAAAATGGCGGGCCTCATCTTTTGAAGTGAAAGAACTTTCACAATTGGTGGCTGACTAAATACTTTTTTGCCCCACTGTATACCGTCCACTAGATTTGCATGAGTACACATTTCCAACAAAAGGAAGATTTTCCTCTTCCCTCCCTTGCTGAGCTTTGCCATCTTGAGACAGTGGGTCCCTGATTTTTCCCCTAGGATTTTACCATCAGGGACATCAAAGATGCTGAACACTAATGGGGATGTAAACATGTGTTCACCATAAACAACATGCTTTAGTTTTTGCAGATACAAATGATCATCACAGCGTTATCAGTACAAACAGCAGCAATGCATTTCTCAACACTTCTTTCTATGTTTTTGTACAATTATTATATTGAGGGCTGCACTTAACTTTTTCAGTGTGGTTCTCAGATGAGACCAGGAGATGGTGTTTGGTTCTCACCCCATTCGTTGCGTGGTTCATAATTTAGATTTTATTCTTGCTTCTTTTTTTATGCAAAAGTTTAGATCAGCTCAGATAAGCCCTTTCTTGCAAAAAAAAAAATCAAAACAAGACACCTGTTTGTTTTTACTTTTGGCCACAACCAACATGTATTGTTAACGCGAGGGATAATGTAGGTTCTCAGCGTTGTACCACGACCCCTTACACCCTGTAGGGGGGCGTGGTACAAAGCCAGGGGGGCGTGGTGCAATGTGTGGTGCAATGCCAGGGGGCCGCACTATCTGAGATGAACTGGTCCATGTGAGGAACGCAAAGGCGCTCTCTAACTCAAGTGATGGTAGCATTTCTGATTTTTGTCACGCATGCCTGTGTACCAGTTATATGCACCCCTGGTTATAGTAAGTAAGTAATGTTTATTTATATAGTACATTTTACAAATCAAGGTCACCCAAAGCGCTTTATAGGCCTGTAAAGGACTCAAACAAAATGAAACAGTCGACCAGTTGGTTTGACAAAAGATTTAGGCCCAATCAGTGAACTGCTCAGACACTGCTCTGAACGCGGTGGAGCTCAGAGGGAGTGGTGTCCTTTAGTCACACAGTTAATACATGTTTATGGATTATAATAAACTACCTCTTTACCTTCAGAGTTGTTGACATCATTCCCACTTTGTTTGACAGGTGGCTTTGACCACGTTTGCCGTTTACGTGACGGTGGATGAGAACAACGTGCTGGATGCAGAGAAGGCTTTTGTGTCTCTGTCGCTCTTCAACATCCTCAGGTTTCCTCTCAACATGCTCCCACAGGTCATCAGCAGCATGGTGCAGGTCAGTCCTGGGGCCATCACATACTCCAGAGCAGGGGTGTCAAAGTCAAGGCCCCCGAGATTATATTTGATCATTATTAAAATCGGCCGCACAGAGACATGAGAACATTTTGGATTCATTTAATGTTCAGGACATGAGTTTTCTCTTTGAAGGAAGTTTGTTTTTGTCTGTGAGCTGTTGAAACATGTACTGACAGAGCCGTACAAATATATTGGATTATTCATTCAATAAAATACGGTCCCTTGTGTTAGGTCCTGGTTCACTAAGTTACATACACCAGTTTAATAAACATAGGTTTTAATAAACATTAAACCAGTCCGGCCCTCGGCTTGAAGCAAATTAGTTTTTTTGGCCTTTGATGAATAAGACGTTACTCTCTCATTATCAGAACGCTTTTTTTCTTGTTTTTTGCTCAATATTTTAGACGTGTTTTGCCCACTAATCCACGAATCTCATAAATTCTGGACGGGGTTAAAGCAAATGGCGCAACCAATGTCATTATAGATGACGCATTTTTTTGACCACCCAACTAAGAACCGAGATGACTTAAAGTAATCCAGAAGAGACCAACGCAGACATAGGGAGATTGTGGAAACTCAACTCAGAAAGGTGGAATCTGGAGGTGGAATCTAAAGTGTCTAAAATGCTAAAATGTTAGCAAGCCTTAAAAATAAGAAACAACGGAGTGTGTATGTAATTAGATACAGACAATGTATAACTTAAAAAAAAAAAAGTGAGGCGCAGGCAGGCTGCCAGCAGCCTGTTGCATCGCGCTCCCCCTCTTGCTGGAGCAGCAGCATCACAGAGAGGGACAGGAAGAAGCTGGACAAGGTCATCAGGAAGTCCAGCTCAGTCCTGGGCTGTTCCCTGGACACAGTGCAGCAGGTGGGGGACAGGAGGGTCCTGGACAAACTAACATCTATGCTGGACCATGACTGTCACCCCCTGCAGGACTCTCTCTCTGCTCTGGAGAGCAGCTTCAGTGACAGACTAATTCACCCTCGCTGTGTGAAGGAGAGGTTCCGTAGGTCCTTCCTGCTGCTGTTAGACTGTACAATAAGAACTGCTGAGTCTGTAAATGTCATTCATCTGTAAATAAGTTAATACTTAAATCATGTGCAATGTGCAATACTGCAACTTCAGAATGTCACAGAACAATGTCATTTTACCTCATGTCACTTTACTTATATACTTTTTATCCTGCACTATTTACTTGTACAGTTTATAACTGCACTACTACTACTTATATATTTTTTGACTGGTATTGAAGCATTTTCAGCATCTACAGCTAGTTATGTTAGCTAAGAAACATAGCTACTACTTATTTGTATATAGTGTATATATTGTGTGTGATCCCTGTGTGCTCTTACTACTGTCCTATATGTGCGATGCAACATCGAAATTTCCCCACTGTGGGACGAATAAAAAAATTCTTATGTTATTTTAGTCACAACTAACATAAGCTCCTCTCTAGCTCATGCTCAAAGTCATACTGCAGTCAAAATTCTCATGGACAACAGAAAATAAAATCTAAACTCATGTCAAAAGTAATTTTCATTCTTTCATAATGTTGAAACTAGTTATATAAGACTTTTATACTTTCGTCCCAGACTCTTGGCCCAGATCATATTTTATACATTTGGCCCAGATCGTACTTTATACATTTGGCCCAGATCTTACTTTATACATTTGGCCCAGATCTTACTTTATACATTTGGCCCAGATCATACTTTACTCTTGTGTTTGTTGTCACAGGCCAGCGTCTCCCTGAATAGGATCCAAAACTTTCTCAGTCACGATGAGCTGGACCCAGAATCAGTGGACAAAAAAGGCACCAGTCCAGGTAAAAATTATACACTAAATGCATTCCTACAGTATATCTATATATACACACACACACACACACACACACACATACACACACACACACACACACACACACACACACACACACACACACACACACACACACACACACACACACACACACACACACACACACATCCAATGCATTTAGGGAAGGTCTAGCCTGGTCTTACCATACCATCATACTCATTTCATTTCGTACTTAGGTCTGGATTTGTTCCATTGACTCCGTTTACAGGTGGGAGGGGTTAACTCCTTTTGCAGATTGAAACGATAGGATCTGAGTTTACTGTGACGTATGTAATGCGCCCGAATGAGTCACTAGCTTTAGCATTTAGCCTAGCCATCTCCTTTGTCACAAAGGAGCCTGTGGGGAGTAGCGCCACAATCTTTGCAGCAATTACATTTGATAAATATTCCTCTTGCTCCGGCTTCGATTTCTTGATAGAACCAGACCTGATTACTTTACTATCGCATTCTCCGCCAAACTACAACCTGCTAATTCGGTGCAAACTCTTGACGTCACCCACATCTACCTACAACACGCGCTCGCTGATTGGTCGGTGGGGATTCAACCAATGTTTTTGCAGACACTGGGACTTGACCCAGACGCTACATGCAGGGAAATGATGATTGACCAGAGTTTACGGATGGCTAAGGCCAGGCTAGGGAAGGTCATTAAAGGCAAGTTTATTAAAACACAATTAAATCACAATGCATACATGAAAACAGCTTTAAATTGTTGATCCCTCATAAAGAAATTGTAGTATTTTCTCACCATGGAGAGATTTTGGTGTTAACAACAAAATATCACTTTTACTTTCAATTAAAGTAATCTTTCTTAATCTTCTTGTACTCTTCAATGTATTATTTATGATTTGATGGTACCTGTATTTAAATGTTTTCTTGTGGTAAAACAACTATTTCCCTTAAACGAAAGAGAACTTTGCTGATGTGTTTTGCAAACAGAGGATGTTTTTTTTACTTACAAATACATAGATTTAACTGACTCATCACAATAGTGTAAAAAGGTGAATGTGGCAAAAGTCTTTCCTCTTCACAACCCTCTGTCTCTCCAGAGTTTGCTGCTACAATCCTGAACGGAAAATTTACATGGGACAAGCAGGACCCTCCAGTGCTGCACAAGTAGGTCCTCCAACACTCAGCAGTCCCGCAACAGTCCAAAACCACTCAACGATTTAGCTAACTGGGCAGAGTTCCATCTCCTTAAAAAGATCCCGCATCCCAAGATTGTATTTACCGTAAATTCCGAACTATAAGCCGCAGCCTTTTTTCTGCATTTTGAAGGGTGCGGCTTCTTCTTTTATTAATTTTTTTCTGTGGCTCCAAAACATTTTGCCAAGTAACATTAGGCCGACAGAATTGATGAGTAGTTCACAGAGGTCAAATTCATTTGTAAGAGTTGTCAAATAAGAAGATTCAATACACTTTAAAATGTTTGTAAATAATAATACGTTTTCGAGCTACATTTTTACACAATATTACACTGTGGGACAGGTGCGGCTTATAATCCAGTGCGGCTTGTACAAGTACAAATTCAGTTTCTTTCTTAAAAATTAGGGCCTGCATCTTATACTCCAGTGTGGCTTATAGTTTGGACAGTACCCTACATATTTGGGCCACTTATAGTTTGCCAAATGTGACCCACATCTGTCTGTTTCATAATTTTTCTTCTAGTGCTATACAATTTCAAGTCCACTTCTGGTTGAGATCTGTTTCATAAAGGCACTAAAATGCACAAGGATCCAAATTAACGCAGCCAATACAGTATCTTTCTACACACCATGATTTTTTTCCTCAGATAAGTTACTGTACCGCCTGCTGGTCCCAGGCCACAGCATCTACCATCAAACCAGTAAGAATGCTCTACAAAAGAGCCATACAAATATTGGACAAAAAGCAAATAAGAACACAAGACTACATTTTCTTAGTTTTTATAATGTTATTAATTAATTTTTGTAATTGTAAATGATCATATAAATGTTTGCACAGCCTAGCCCCTGCTGTTCTGAGTGCTCTCATAGTTCCTCTGAGATCCATCACACGAGGCTCCTCTAACGGGAACGTAAAAGTGCCCCTCAGGTGGACCACATTCGGACAGTCGGTCTTCTCGGTCCAGGAGCCAAAGCTCTGGAACTCTTTAAGCCCTCAGCTAAAACTGAACTCTGACTGGGCTGGTTTTAAACATGAACTGAAACAAATCTTTTTTATTTTTTTTATTTTTTTAAACAAACCACTTGTGTGATCATCATTTATGAGTTAGAGGACACCTGCGTTTGTATAATGTGAATCCTATCATGTAAAATGTGTAATGTTAATTGTGTTAAAGTACACTTGTCCCAATCAAATAAATAAGTAAATATATTATTAGACAAAACAAGATGCAACTTTTAACACTTACTCGATGGCATCTTGTTCATGAGTCTCATATTGATGTTAATCCAATGTATTTCCAAAACGTTTTTTTCTGAGTAAGACAACTTGACGTTAAAGAAAGCGTGTGTTCTTCCTCTGTTGCAGCATTAACATGATGGTGCCACAGGGGTCGCTGCTGGCCGTGGTGGGACATGTGGGCTGTGGGAAGTCCTCGCTCATCTCCGCTCTGCTGGGGGAGATGGAGAAGCTGGAGGGAGATGTCTCTGTCCGGGTGAGGGTCATAACAAAGCACTCACTGGAGTCAAACCACTGCAGTCTGAGGAGGAATGACTTGAATGTTAGGCAGAACTTGTGAAGATTTGGCCTTACCTGATTAAAAAAATCATCTCGAGCCAAAGATCATTTCAAACATGTGTGTTGTAGCTGTAGTTTATTTGTGAATCAGGTTTACTGCTTACATACAAATGCCCAAAGTAGTTTTTTTCATTGATTCCCTCAAGCTTCAGTTAGAGAGCTATCTTTCTCTTTCATTTTCGAGAGGGAGAAAGAAAGATGACGCGGTACGAGCTTGAGAAGCCCGCCTTGAGGAGATGATTGACAGCGGTAGAAATCAAAAGAGCAAATCACTGCTTGCAGCCTCCCCCAGTCCAGCGTATGGTCCTGCATCTACCACATCAAGCTATAATGTTTATCTCATGGGGTCAGCGACTAAAAGGGTTAGCATCATGACAACTTGAAGAAGAGGGGTCTTTGAGTGTAAACATGGGACAACACTATTTGGCCCAAAGACGAAGAATGCAGCAAATGTGGCTGGACTTTTCTATTCTTGGGGATCTGCCTCGGAAATCCGCGACAATTCTGTTTTTCTGCGAGCGACTCATCATCGAAGACTACTTCCAGAAGTACGGTTACCATGAAACTGGACTGGACTCTGGACTCTGGAAACTGGACTCAAAATCAGTGGAGGCAGCAGAAGTGCAGCCGATTGGTTCAGACCACTCTCTCTGCTCTGGTCCAAAGTAAAACGCAAAATGCTTTGTTAGCATGATTTTTCAAAAAGTTAACATTCTTCCAGTGGATTTTTGCCTGATCCGCTTGTTTCGGACCATGAAACCTCTCTGCTCTGGTCTGGATCAATGTAAAACCATGAACACTGTGCTGCAGCAACATCTCAGGTAGAATAACGCAAGAAATATAACATTTGTAAAGCACATAAACAAGCACTGTTTCAGAACTTGCTGCAGTTTCCAGTGCATTCAAAAGTAAACCGTAAAATATGTAGGTGCTACTAACCCACCGTTTACTAAAGAGTTAGGGTCCAATTCTGGATGGAGGACTTAGGGCTCTACAGGACAGATGGTCATCGTTGGAATAAGTTTATTCTCAGGTTTGAAATGACCCTGTACCATGCTGTGTTTGCATCATAGCGAAAGAGCAGCAATCCACTTTTAAATGAGGTGAAGTTTTGAGAGCTGTGTGGTGTATCACCCAAAGTTGTGCTTAAGGTGGACTGTGAAAAATTAATTAATTTTTTACCTATAGCAACAGCCTATTAGTTCCTAAATTCTGGTTTATTTGAATGGTAATTGTCCTAATCCGTTTCAATGCCAAAATACATTTGAGTTTTTAAAAATAACAGGCTTTCCAGAGAGTCGCCTCTGAGCTAAAATGACCACTTTTAATGACTTCCTGTAAGAATACAATGTAAAGGTCTAATCCTATTACAGGCAAATATAATTCTATTTATTATTCTTTTGATGACATAAGCTTTTTAAAACATAAACCATAAAAACATGTTGGTGAAGGATTTTTTGGAGTAGTTTTTGATGTCTGTGGTTCCATTACAAAGTGAGTATATATTGTTCATTTTGCTTTGTCAGTGGTTCGTGCATAAACACAGTGAGAGGAAACAGCCTGACTTTGGTTTCCTGCGCAGGGCTCCGTGGCTTATGTCCCGCAGCAGGCCTGGATACAGAACGCCACGCTCAGGGACAACATCCTGTTCGGAAAGGCCTTTCAGGAGCCCAAGTACCGCTGTGTGCTGGAGGCCTGCGCGCTCACCCCAGACCTGGAAGTGCTGCCGGGAGGAGACATGACCGAGATAGGAGAGAAGGTACACACTCTCTATGCTAATAAACCATACACTGTACTTGCTGGAGGCTTAGGCAAACCTTTACATGCATCGCTGCAGCTGAGTTTTAAGGTTTAGGTTGTAATGTAACACTTAACCAAATAAAACAAAACAAAACAAGCATTAAAATAATAAATAATCACAGTACATTAAAAAGAAAGATACAAATATAAAATCCCTCAGTTGTTAGGGTTAGGTCAATAGAGCAGTCAACAGTCGATTGCTAGCCGCTAGACTGTAGGAGACCAAGTTAAGCTTGTTGAACTAGCATACAGGTAGCCCAAGGCCTAACTACACACACAAACTAGTTTATATTTTGCTACCATTTTGTTATACACTGAGGGACATGGAGCTGGAGGGTCTAAACGTTTCAGCATTTAACCCGTTTCAACAAACACACGTCTCCGGTATAATGTACATGAGAGAAAAACTTGTAGTGACTGGAAGCTTGGAGTCCTGGATAGACAGACCGTCTGTGGGATCGACGCCCTCCCTCAATGTGCGCCTCCCAAGGGTCCTCAAATTCTCCCATTGGGTTTTTAGAGTGGTTCTCTGCCGATGCAGGAGGGTCTACGGACAGTGATGATCCAAGGCTTTTATGGACATCTATTGACATTCACGGACATTGGTCTCTGCCCCTTCTGTATCAATGGCTCTATGTGTCTTTTATCATTGCATTTCCTGTGTTTGATTGTCTGATCTGTATTGGCGATTCAACAGCTTTGAAAAGTCCTCAGAAAAAAACTACTGTTTGATTTAGGGCAATAGATAGATAGATACTTTATTGATCCCCGTCGGAGAAATTCAGGTATCCAGTAGCAGCAAAAATAAAAAATAAAATTGATCATTCAAAAAAGCTAATAATAGTAATAATCAGCAACAGCCCTTCAGGTCACAGCAGCAGAGGTGGAGTAGCCTCTGGGTGGAGCAGGACGGGTCACAGCAGCAGATGTGGAGTAGCCTCTGGGTGGAGCAGGACAGGTCACAGCAGCAGAGGTGGAGTAGCCTCTGGGTGGAGCAGGACGGGTCACAGCAGCAGAGGTGGAGTAACCTCTGGGTGGAGCAGGACGGGTCACAGCAGCAGAGGTGGTGTAGCCTCTGGGTGGAGCAGGACGGGTAACAGCAGCAGAGGTGGTGTAGCCTCTGGGTGGAGCAGGACAGGTCACAGCAGCAGAGGTGGAGTAGCCTCTGGGTGGAGCAGGACGGGTCACAGCAGCAGAGGTGGTGTAGCCTCTGGGTGGAGCAGGACGGGTCACAGCAGCAGAGGTGGTGTAGCCTCTGGGTGGAGCAGGACGGGTCACAGCAGCAGAGGTGGTGTAGCCTCTGGGTGGAGCAGGACGGGTCACAAGGTGGAGTAGCCGCTTGGTTCGGACCATTTTCTCTGCTCTGATTTAGCATTTTAGTAAAATGCTAAATGCTGCATTAGCATTATTCAGACAGTTAGCATTCCTCCAGTGGATTTTCGGCTGATCTGCTTGGTTCGGACCATGAATTCTCTCTGCTCCGGTCAGGACCACTGTAAAACTATCAACACTGTACTGCAGCAACATCACAGGCAGAAAAAAGCAATAAAAATTAAATGTATAAAGCACAAAACAACAACTGTTTCAGAGCTACTTAGAACTTGAAGCAGTTTTCCAGCGCATTCAAAAGTAATAGTAAAAGATACAAAAACAAAATGAATTGAATTAAATTGATTTCCTTCAAGTGTCAATTGTTTGAGTATAAAATGTTCCATAATGTTCCAGGGCATCAATCTGTCCGGAGGCCAGAGGCAGAGGGTGAGCCTGGCGCGGGCCTTGTACAGTGACGCAGATGTCTACCTCCTGGACGATCCTCTGTCTGCTGTGGACGCACATGTGGCCAAACACATATTTGACCACCTCATCGGACCAGAGGGAGCGCTCAAGGGCAAGGTGGGCGCAATGACTGCTCAGATGTCTTCTTGTTTTTCTTTTACAGAATGGCAGATGGCTTAGATGGTGTTTAGAGGTTGTCATTACCGTAGGAACAAAGTAAACAAGGACCACAGCATAACCAATTTGCAAAATAATTACAGAATAATAAACAGACAAATGAGACATTACCAGTTAAAGGTATGAAGGAGGATGTTCTACTTCCATGTGGATCATCAAGGCTATTGGTCCTCCCAATTGTCATTCTGGTGATACATGCTCATCAAATAAGAGAGGGCAGTTCTTAGGAGGAGAGATTATTTATTTAAATATTTGATTATTTAATCATAATTTATAATACAGCTCCTCACAGCAGCAGTGGAATGCTCCATTGATTTGAATGTATTTTCAAAACGTTCTACCGATAATTTTTTCTTAATAACGGACCTTTCAAACTAATAATGGCCGCTGCCTTTTGGCAACGCACTCTGTGCTTGTACTTCAGGTGTGTAAAATACTAAGACTACTTTGGACAGTAGTTTGTATACTTCGTCACAACGGGCTTTTAGCACCTGTCACTGTCTGAGCGAGAGAAGCTATCAAGGCTAGCCACGCTCAATAACACAAATGTCACTATCAATGTCAATTTTATTTGTATAGCACATATATAACAACACCAGCTGCTCAAAGTGCTTCACAGGGCACGAAAAATAAAAACTAAAGAAAACAGCATGAAATACACACACATACATGTAAAAATAAAATGGTAAAACTCAATTGGTGTTAAAAGCTTAAAAGATTTAAAAACTTCCAATGAAGGAGCTGCTCTAATGAACAGAGGTAGACTATTCCACAGTTTGGGGGCAGCAACAGAAAAGGCTCGGTCTCCACGAGTCAATCAATCAACACATTTAAATGTTAATCGGAGAATACATTATACATATACATTCTTAATACACGTGCGCAGAAGTTTTCAGAATAATCTGACAAAAATACTGTTTTGAAGCGTCAAAAAGCGATCCGGAAGTAACTATGAACATTAGTAGAACACTTTAGGACACATTTGCAGAAGATCTGATTATGGATTTATGTAAAATTTATATTTGGGTCACTCACCGCTGATGTTCAGAATTCTTTGTTCAGTTTTCATGTAGTTTCAGAGAGTTCTAGTTAGAAAGCGAGCCTAGCTGTCACCTGTCTGGCCTACAGTCTATGGTCTAGCCACACCAGGACAAAACCTTTGGGATCTATCTTTATATTTTATATATCATTAAAGATAATGACGAGCGCGATGATTGACAGCTTGGCATTACTTGATTGGTTAAAGTGGACAGCATCGTGGATTTTGAGCTATAACTAAGAGAAGGGAAGGCGGGACTTACCCTTATTATTAGAAATCATAAAATGATATATTGTATATCAACATTTAAGGCCAGGAGGTCAAATTAATACAATTCTTAATATTTGTAATTCATTTAGAGTTTATCACTTTAATGGTTAAACTTGCTTTTCTTTTGTGGAAATACTTTTGTTTCTATGTATGTATGTACGTATTTAATGCTGTCAGAAAAGAGCTGATGGAGGGTGGTCCTCTCTTATTCATTTTTGTGTCTGAAAAAAGGATACAGTATGTAAAGCTGTGACAGAAACTATAGAAGCAAAACGTTTTAGTGCCAGGACCTGGTTTTTGATTTTATTGTAGAGTTGTCGTTGAAAATTAAATATGCCAGCTTTAACTCAGATGTGACTATATTAGTTCTCCTTTGGCAGGGACTGTGAAATATTTCCCTAGACAATAGTTTAGACATGGTGCGCGGCTGTATACTTTAGAATAGATGAAAATACCCTACACTATGCAAATGATCAATGTAAATGTCTCCATCATTTTATCCCAGGAGCAAAAACAGCTGTTAACTATGCAAAAAATGTGGGACAAGCTGGAAAGGCGTCATTGTTAACACAAAGGCCTCTAATGCAGGGATGTCAAAGTCAAATACATCAGAGGCCAAAAGAACACATTTGCTACGAGCCGAGGCCGGACTGGTTCAATGTTTATTAAAACATATTCAAAAGATTGCATAAAACTTGTTGAAACAAGACCTAACACAATGTACCGTTTTTTTATTGAATGATTAAATGAATAATCCAATATTTTTGTATGGCTCTATGCGGCCGGGTCTAATACTAATCAAATATCATCCCAGGGGCCGGGAATGTATCATTGATGTAGGTTTGTTTATGTCTTGTATACATATATGTTTTTTCTCTGCAAAAAAACGCAAAAGAAACAAAAACGTGGAAACACGACTAATGTAATCTTGAAAATAGTGTGTTGTAAAGGATGTAGTGTCACATTACTGCCAACAATACACAGTCCTAATAATAATAATAAAAAAATAAATAACAATAAATAAATAATGCTACATCTTCCCTCTGCTGGCGTCAGACGCGCGTGCTGGTGACCCACGGCATCAGCTTCCTGCCGCAGGTGGACAACATCATGGTTCTGGTGGACGGCCGGGTGTCGGAGATGGGCTCGTACCAGGAGCTGCTCACACAGGACGGAGCCTTCGCCGAGTTCCTGCGTAACTATTCCCTGGACGACCTGATAGAGGAGGACGAGGCCAACGGTGACGCAGCAGATCCACGCCGCCAGCTTGTCTTGTGCTTAACCTGATTGTTTTTACAGAGGACCTACTTGAAGAGGAGGAACGGTTCCCTGAAGACGCGCTGAGCAACCACACAGACATCGTGGACAGTGAGCCGACCATCAATGAAGCCAAGAGGACCTTTTTACGGTAAACATGTACAATAGTTCTGGCATGGTGCCTCCTGAACTGGCAACCTCGCTCCCATCTGTGTGGTTGCGAAAGACAAATACCCATATCGAATGTAAAGCGCTTTGTGACTCTGGTCTGTGGTGCTATATAAATAAAGATTACTTACTTACTTACTTTAAGGAGCAGTATATACAAAATCTGGCCAAAAGTTGTACTGGACGCTCCCTGACTCAGATTGCCAGATATGCAGATGAATCCAGCTGGGACGATAATATCTGAATAAAAACAACAAATCTATAATACCTTTTTCACAAAGATAAAAATCTTGGTTTTATTCCTTGTTTTGTTGTTAATGATTTGAGGATCATAACGAGACATTTTTTTGTTCTGCGGCCTCATGGTACTTTACCAGTGAAATTAGGTTGACGCGGTGAGTTCTGGCAACCCGGATCACAGACTTTCTGATTGGTAAAACGATGGAGGGCGGGACATCGAAATTAAAACAATAACAAGATTTAGGGGCTGTAAAACTAATTTTTTAATCCAAATATCTCTGAACTACTGTTATCAGTTAAAGAAGTATTGGAAAAGAGCATGATTTATTAATGCCTTTTGACAGATTAGGGCCCTTTAATGATGACTTGACATGAAAATCTTACATATTGCTACTTTAACTACACCTTGCTTTCAATATAAGTCTATAAGAGCCAGAGCGAGTTGGAGCAATACTTCACCAAACAGCCTAAGTCTAAACCTTGCCCGTGTGTGTCTCTTCAGGCAGATCAGCGTCCTCTCTGCGGACGGGGAGGGAGCGCGGTGTCGCTCGGTGAAGAGGCACGGCTGCAGCCAGAAGAAGCACGGCGAGCCTCAGGAGAAGAAGAAAGCACAGGAGATGGACAAACTCATCCAGGCAGAGGCCGCCGAGACGGGCAAGGTGTGACCACGCACCAGCACGGCCGTCCAGCTTGTGCTCACTTTGACACGCTTTAGTTCATTGGTGTCCAACCTTTTGAGTAGCAAGGCCACTTTATTTCACCAGACTGGTCCAGGGGCTGAAAATATGGATTATATAACTGTTTTGACTGGATTTGGGCATTTTGCACGATGGAAATTTGCAAAACAGTCAAACGATTATCAGTATTGATAGTGCGCCACGGTGGCTGAGTGGTTAGCACTCTCGCCTTTCTGAGTGGAGTTTGCATGTTCTTCCTGTATCTGCGTAGGTTTCCTCCTGGTGCTTCGGTGTCCCCTTCCACTAAAAACATGTACAATAGGTCTGGCATGCGCCTCCTGTACTGGCGACTCCGCTCTCTGTGTAGTGAGAGACAAATGCCCAGCCAGACAAATTGTAAAGCTTTTTTGACTCTGGTCTGTGAAAGGCGCTGTATAAATCAAGTCTACTTAATTACTAACTTACTTAGTATAAATAAATAAAGTTTACCAAATTACACCTTAGGATTTTCTATTTAATATCTTGTTTGATGTGTGTGTATCCTGAGTGCGTATTAATGTGCTCAAGTAACTTATCTTATCTAAAAAAAAAAGTTCTGAGCTCCACCAATATAGTTATGCTAATATTGGAGGAGCTGAAGTTGGCTGGATAACACTGTGAAAGCCCCTCAATGGCTACTACACTTAACATCACTACAGTTTTCATTTCAACTCAGGAGCACTAAATAATTGAATACAGAATGTAGGTAATATTTGACGAGAACAGGTATTAAACTTATTCGTTGCACCTTGAAGTGAAAGTTCCCATTCTGTGAGGCTTGTCCTGCTCTGCTCTCTCCAGGTGAAGGTGACGGTGTATCTGGAGTATGCCCGGGCGGTGGGCCTGGTGCTCTCCGTGGTCATCTGTCTACTGTACGGCTGCCAGAGCGCCGCCGCCATTGGAGCAAACATCTGGCTCAGCGTCTGGACAAACGACGCGGCCACCAACCACACGCAGGAACGGGTGCACATGAGGGTGGGGGTGTACGCCGCGCTGGGCATTGCACAAGGTGAGGAGCTCTAGGACTGACTTATGAGACTTATGCTGACAATTAGCAAAGAGTCGTGTGAATCTGGAAACTGTGTGTCACAATACTACAAGCATGGCCAAACACAGGCCGGGGGACAATTGCGGCCCTCAACGTCATTTTATGTGGCCCTCTGCCTTGCCAAGTAGTCTGTGAGATCATAAACACAAGTTCACTGTGTCATCCATCCAACTTTAGCTCAGCCAATATAGACATGTCAAAAGTAAGGGATAAAGTATAGTAGGCAGGTCATTATCGGAAAATAAGCACCGACAAGGCGCGTCGGGGTCTGCTTCCGCCCTGGAGGTACTTATTTTCCGGTAATGACCTGCGTACTATACATTATCCCGCTTATTATACGGCTTTGTACCAACAGAACAAACAAAATAAACTTCAGTCCACTTTTAGGAATGCCGAAAGGTTTACTGCAAATAAAATAGTTCCCAAAGGTTTTCCCGTGGCTATGCGAGTAACAGTTAAGCTAGCAACTTCCAAACTAGAACTCTCTTGAACTGCATGAAAACTGAACAAAGAATTCTGAACATCAGCGGTGAGTGACCCAAACATAAACTCAAATAAATCCATAATTCGACCCTCTGCAAATGTTCCTAAAATGTCCCGGAACGTACTTCCAGGTTTATAGAAATCTCTTTTTCTCGTATTAAAACAGTATTTTTGTCATGAAAACCTTGACAGATACCTCCGTGCATGTGTATTAAGAATGTATATGTATAGTGTAATCTCTGATTAACATTTAATTGTGTTGATTGATCGGTATTTGCGTTTATTGAGCGTGGCTAGCTCCGGAGTGGCCAGAACTACTACGGAGTGGATAGAACTACTACTATCTACACATCGGAATTACAAGCAGAGAGTGCGTTGCCAAAGGGCAGCGGTCATTATTGTGTTGAGAGGTCAGTTATCAAGAAAAAATGACCGGTAGAACGTTTTGAAATTACATTAATATCAATGGACCGTTCTACTGCTGCTGTGAGGAGCCGTAAAATAACTAATTCTAAAGCCCAGTGCGTCTGGAATTCAGTCAGACGCACAGAATTCAGTCAGTTGACTTTTTTTGCACATACTGTACTGAGGTTTGTGTCACAAACCTCTGTTAATGGTGCTACTGTAGCTGGTGAGATGGAAAACATGTGTCATTCAGCCAACTTCAGCTCTGTTATAGATCATTTTAAAGCTCAGAACAGCCCGATGCAAGTCAAGACAGTTTTTCAATCTGTGATGTCGGCCCCTGGAGTAGTCGGGTGAACTAAAGTGGCTCTCACTAAAATGTTTAGACACCACTCACAACATTTAAAACAGCGGTCATTATACTGTCTTTTATAACTCAAATATAGGTTTTCTGATTGACAGTGGTTTAGGTCTTTGGAGTTCTGATGTCTGTGGGTCGACTCTGACTTTTCTCACCGTCCTGTGTCTCAGTTTATCTCAGATTTTATTTAGATCTGTCCCTGGCTTTCATTTCCTCACAAAGTTTCTCACGCTTGAAACTGAAAGCTTAAATCTCTGTGTTCTTCCCCTAAACCAGGAGGTTGAACAATCTTTGTTTCCAGGTCATTTGACAGTTGTGTTTTTAGGCTCCCGTGTTGACAGAGAAGATGCAAAGAGGGAAAACACTTAGAATTGGCTTAAATACTCTTTCTTCCAACTGGATTCACCTGTGTTTGGGGGTCTGAGGTGACAAACCAATTTTGAGTTCAAGTAATCAGTGCTAAAGGTGTAGAACAGGGGTGCTCACACTTTTTCAGCATGCGAGCTACTTATAAAATGATCAAGTCAAAACGATCTACCGACTACAAAAATGCAAAACATATCTTTATTTCCAAATATATTGAGGATTTTTTTATATCTACAATGTACATCAACATACTGCATAATCATGCAAAACCGCATGATTTATGAAATAATTTGCATCCACACATAACCAAACATCTGCGTTTTCAATGACATTACTAACATTCCAAACATGTGCGTCCTCTGACGTCCTGCGTTGGGGGAAAAACACAGAAGTAGGCGGAGCTTTGATGCAGACGCCGGTACTTGTGTAGCGGCACTTACAGTCATAGTAGAAACTCAGGGTGAAGACATACTATTATAGATCCACGGTGAAGACATATGTTTACAAGCACTGACCCCCGTCCTCAGCCCTGGTTTGATCCTGGTTTAGCTCCTGTTTTGGTTGTTTTCGAGCGTGAGTTCCTGTGATCACTTTGCTGCTTTCTGATGTGGAGGATGTCCGCTGCAGCAGCAAACAGTTTTTAAGGCAGTAAGATCCATGCTTCCTCAGTTATCAGAGGTCGCACGTTTTGTTTGTTGTTGTTGTTTTGGGGGCATACTGTGGCGTGCGAAAACGCAAAACTCCGGTTATCACTGTCTACACGCAAATGCATCAACAGATTTTTTATTTTTTATGTAAGGCGATCTACCAATACGACCTTTGCGATCGACTGGTAGATCGCGATCGACGTATTGAGCACCCCTGGTGTAGAAGTCAATAACACTTTAATTAAGGGGGTAAATGTATGCTTATGCCTAATTTGGTTTAAATAAATCTTTCACACTTTCTGAAAATAATACAAACTCACTTCTCAAATATCACTGTGTTTATCTCCTATAGGATATATTTTACTGGAATTTATTAACCAAGCAACCTATGATTTATGAAGGAAAATCATAAAAAAAAATTATATCAATAAATGTCCATGTCCACCAGTTTATGTCATTTTAATTAGTATCTATCTAATGCTATGCTCAAATTAGAATCTAGGTCTAAATAATATCTACAATTTGAATTTGTACACCCCTAATACAGAGGTTAAAACAGAGATTTGTTACAAAAGACAAACCCACAACATTTCCCACTGTCTGTTTGGATTGAAAGGTGAGTCAAATAAGACATGTTTTGATCCATTATGTCTTCTTTTGTTTGGAAATGTTTTCATACCATACGTGTAAAATCCCCTCTATTTTCTTTTCTCTTTTTATTCTTCATAACTTGAGTCTATTTCCCTCTGAAAGAAGAGAATACAGACGCCGTGTGGTTCTCTCTCTAACTCCCACTGACCCAGCTCCTCCCCCCTGTCCGCCTCAGGTCTTCTGGTCATGATTTCCTCCCTGACCCTGTACATGGGCAACATCGGAGCGGCCCGGAAGCTTCACCTGAACCTGGTCACCAACAAACTGCACACGCCCCAGTCTTTCTATGACACCACGCCTATAGGCCGCATCATCAACCGCTTCTCCAAGGACGTGTACGTGATCGACGAGGCCCTGCCCGCCACCGTGCTCATGTTCCTGGGGACCTTTTTTGTCTCTCTCTCCACCATGATAGTTATCATTTCCAGCACGCCCATCTTCGCCGTGGTGGTCGTGCCCTTGGCTTTCATATACGTCTTTGTGCAGGTACACGGTCCTCCCTGAGCAGCGGGTGTCTCTGTTTGTCCAGGTGCCGCGCCTGCATGATGCTGATGTGGCAGCTTTTAACCCCTGCACTGTTTTGTCCCTCGTGTATAGCCTGAGACACTGGAGAATTTCATTGTCGCTGCTTCCTCCTTTTTTTTTCCTGCTATTCCCGCAACAGCCACACTTTATTCTGTGTTTTCTGCTCAGACAATACTGGCCCCATAATGACCATAATGAGCTAATATAAACACACTCTCATCTGATTTGTGTGAACAGAAAACGTCTCTGCTTTCTCTTGAGTGCCCCGGGTGCTAAGCTAGCGTTATAACTGTAGAGTAGCCTCATTAATCATGTTTGTTTTAAGGAGTGGAAAGTCCAGCGCAAACCTGTGAGGGTGTCTGAAGGGTCATGCATCATCTTGTGCTGTATTTGCAAAGGAGTGTGGGTCCTTTGAGGCGAGGCTGTATTAGAGAAAACTCATCTGTACCTGCCCATGGTGCTGTTTTCAGAGCTGTGACACAGGCCGAGCAGGTAGAGTGGCTCCTAACCTGGTGTCCCTCCCCTCCCTCCGCAGGTGCGTTCTTGTTGGTAAACTGCCTGCTGTGCCGGGCCTACAGCATGCTACGCGCAGCCAAAATCACACACCGCAACCTGCTTGGTGGGGTCCTGCGCGCCCCTCAGGCCTTCTTCGAGAGCACTCCCATTGGGCGCTTACTCAATCGCTTCAGCAAAGACGTGGACGCTATTGACTCTCACATTCCGGAAAATATTGACATATGGATGCGCACTTTCTGGTACACTCTGAACGTGCTGCTCATATGCTGTGCCCTCACCCCAATGTTCCTCATAGTCATAGCTCCGTTAACACTGTTCTATTGGTGGGTTCAGGTAAATTGGACTAACTCATTGATACATGCATGCAAGTGCAGTGAGTGAGTGCTGTAGCCGGCTCAGTGTGTGTGACAGTGTACAAGCTGCCTACGTCCACTTAACATGATCTTTAGTTCTGTATTTGGTGTCCATAGATATTGTGTGGGAGTAGTGGAAGTAGTGGGAGTAGTAGTGGCTCTGATCAGTAGCAGCTTCATCTTCCGTACTCACTTATGGAGCCAAGACACAGACCGCCTCTGCTCTGGCTGTGTGCTCATCATAGATTGTGTATAGATGTACAGTACAATGCTAACCCGCTAGCTCAATAAATTAGGAACGTGCTACTGGATGTTTTCCTCTGGCTTCTAAGGCTTATTTACAGAAGTTCAAGTTGTGTCACACTCACCATTTTGGTCTTAAACATCCATGGTTTAGCTCTCTCTGCAGTTGTGAGCCCATACAACTGACCAATCAGGTGTCTTCTATCCCCAAATTCGGCATTAGCTAGCGAGTAACAGACTGGCGCCGCTCCTGATTGGCTCTTGGTTGCTCAGTCCCCTTCTTCTGCCATCTCTGCCTTGACTGTTTTGGATTGGCATTAGAAACTGCAGAAACAGCCTCTAGAGGGTTTGTCTAGTTTGGCTTTTTTCCAGAGCCAGAATCTGTAGTAAACAAATCCATCATCAACCAACTCGATACCGAACTGGATTCTAATTTCTCTAAAGATCCCATGGTGCGGATGTAGTTCTCTCTAACGCTCTCAGATGTGCTCTAACTTTAACATTTACAGTCTATGGCTTTAACGTGTAGCTCACTCCGGCTGCATGGCTGGCTCTTCATCTAATCTTTAACAGTGTTGTGCAGATTTTACTACATAAGGAAAAAGCTCCACACTCTACATGTCACGGCTACGTACCTCAGACATTTGAAGAGGTTCGCACAATTGCTTCAAATAATTTGTCCGGTTTATGAGCTGTACCTTTTTAATTTATTTCCTTTTATGGTAATGAAAAAGTTCTGCAGATTTAACCAATTCAATTTAATGTATTTGGTTGCATCCAAAATCACAGCAACAGTTTTCTCTTGTTCACCGTCCAGGGGTTAGAGGAACAGCGACTAAATAGCAATGCACAATCTACACGTAGAAATTTAAACGGGTTAAGAGGCCTCTGACATATATACAATATCCAGCTATAAGATAAGATAAACTTTATTGATCTTATACTGGAGAAATGTACACGTCGCATTTGGCACAGTTAGAATCACTCTAATTGTGCAAAAGACAGAAGTGTTAAAAAACATGTTAAGGTTAAAAGTATTGTCTGTGCAGGACATAATTGCAATAAAAGACAGAGTGGCAATAGCAGTGCAGGGTTTTTTCAGTCCTATAGTGCATTAGTGACTTAAAGCGACTTATTGTACAGTCTGACAGCAATGGGGATATCACTACAGATTAACACATTCAGGGTCAGCAGGAAGGAAAGACCTGCTTAGGGTGGATCAGGGCAGAGATACGCCCTGTTTCCACCAGCCCTATTTGACAAACCTAAACAAACCCACAACAAACCAGTATCCGTGGAACTTTCTTGGTAACCATGGCTACCAGCAAGACCCTGGTCAATCACTGTTAGTTAGAACACTTTAGTACCAGTTCGGCCTGGATAGAACCAGAGCCAAACGGGTACGATAAAGTAATTGGCCAAGAATAGGGCCAAGTAGAGCTGGTGGGTTTATAGTGTCATGTCGGTCTAGGACTGCTTTCGGGATCAGAATCATAATCAGGTTTTTGTCATATGAAATCACAAACTACGAATTTGCTTTGATACGTAAATGGTGCAATCAAGTTAGAATAAAAGAAAACAAAAAATAGATATGTTACTCTGCTGGGGATTACAGGAGAACAAAACTGGCTAGAAACATATTTTTGCTGATGAAAGTAGACAGTCCAGTCTATCAGAATCTGGTATAATCATAGCACACAATATTCTATGAGTCTTGAAAATCAGTTGGCAGTCAATGAGTTAACATAGAAGGTTATCGATAAGTGACCAGAGGTATGATCTTATAAGGTGACAGAATTGTAAAGTGACAATATAGCACTTATTTACAAGACAGAATAGAGTAAGTTTCAAAAGATGCAGCAAAACAATATCCACACAAACAATCGGAGCAGTATATGTAATGTAGTACACACAGACACAAAACATGGTCTCAAAACAGTTGTGCGACCCACATCAGACATCACTCCCAGCTTTTGTTTATACCTGGCTGACATGTAGACTGTGGAGACACCTGTGGCAGTAGATCCAGCCTGTCCGAGGTCTAACCGAGCTTTGGTAGCGTGTGCATGGCCTGTGTGTGTGCTCTGTCATGTTTTGGAAATCATCTCTGGAAGCCGTTGTCCAATTGCTAACACTTGTTTTTGTGTTTTTCTCCCTCCTCTCGGGCCCCTGTAGAGATTTTATGTGGCCACGTCCCGGCAGCTAAAGCGTTTGGAGTCGGTCAGCCGCTCTCCCATTTACTCCCATTTCTCAGAGACCATAACAGGCTGCAGTGTGATCCGGGCGTACGGCAGACAGTCCGCCTTTGTGCACATGAGCAACGTCAAAGTGGACGACAACCAAAAGAGTTACTTCCCGGGGATCGTGTCCAACAGGTACGTGTGCGGCTCGGCGCGCGGAAGCAGGTGTGGTGGAGGAAGTACACACATGCATACACACACACCAGTATTAACGTCAGTATTTCCTATAAACACACACACACACACAGACACACACTTCAGTATGTACTATAAACAGTAGTGTATGAATGTGTATAATCCAGGCGTGTCCAAACTAAAGTGAAATGCAACCCACTGTGTCTATTTCTGTGGCCCTCTGCTTTGCTAGCCCAAAATTAGCCATTGCAGTCATCCAGCCAACTTCATCTCCACCATTTTAGACATGCTATACCTCAATGCTCAGAACCTCTTAAATTCTGTCTGTGACTGTTTGACTATTCCAACATTTATGTGTGATCATGGCTCAAGGGATTATTCACAACCCATCATCTGTACTTCAGTTAGCAGGTTTCTGCAATGAAAACTCCAACACCTGCTAACTGAAGTACAGATGATACTTCAGTAAAAACTCAGAACAGCCTGTATCCAGTAAAAACAAAACAGGTCATCGGTCCCTGGTTAATGAAAGAGGCCATCTTACTAAAAAGTCTGGACAGCTCTGTTAATACAAGTTTAGTCATCACTAGGATTTGTTTATGGCATTTTTGACCTTGTTGTCTCTTTAAATATTAAAGATTATAAATGTTAATTCCAAACTACTACTTCAATCATGGCGAGTGGTTATGTGTAGCCATTTATTGCCAAATCCATTTTCTATTTTCAAGTGATATTTGACAGAGACTCAGACCTAGCCTGGTCTTACCACACCATAGTACAAATGTCATGTCATACTAAGGTCTGGATTATCTCCATTGACTCCGTTAACAGGTGGGAGGGGTTAACTCCTTTTGCAGATTGAAACGATTGGCTCTGACTTTACCGTAAGGTATGTATTGAGCCCGAGTGAGTGAGGCATTTAGCATTTAGCCTAGCTTTAGCATTATGCCTAACTTTAGCATTTAGCCTAGCTTTAGCCATCTTCTTTGCCACTAACAGAGCCTGTGGGGAGCCAATTTGACACCAATGACATTTGCTAAACATTCCTCTTTCTCTGGCTTCAATTTCTTGATATTTGGTGCTGAACCAGAACAGATTATTTTACCATCACATTCGCCGCCATTGTCAAACAACAACCATTCAATTTGGCCCAAACTCTTGATGACACTTCCCTACAACACCCGCCTCCCCCGCTCACTGATTGGTCAGAGGGGATTCAACCGAGGAAACTGCAGTCTCTAGGTTCAGACCCAGACGTACATGTAGGAAATGATCATGGACCGGAGTTTACGGATGGATAAGACCAGGCTAACTCAGACCCTGATATAAAGACTTCTCAATAGTTGCTTTTTAACATCTATGAAGCTTGGAGTCTTTTGTGGTTGTTGTGGAAGGTTCTCTCCTTCCAAAACATGTCCAGGTTCTGTAAATTCCTGGACCCCTTGCATTAACTGCACATTAGTCCTCTCCACAGATCACCTCAATTTTCATAATTTATTAGATTTTTTGGTGGACAATATTTAGCAAAACACAACAATGAACAATGAGTTGGTTCTTCTACACCAGACAAATGTGAGATAGTGATTGCCTTGACATGTTACGACCATAGACTGTAAAAAATAATGGACGTAGTCACGCCTATCTCTGCCGTTCTAACTATTGGGCCAAAAATAGTGCTCTACTGGAGCAATCCAAAATGTCCCGCCCACAAGAAAATTGTGAAAAAACGCATCTGCGCATGCGTCAGCCGGTGGGAGCTCCTTTTATTTAAACGAGTTACTTCAAAAATTCACAGCGAGTAAACTAGAGTGGTCCAAAAAAATTCACCCCCCTCAGCACTGACACACATGTGGAACGGAGCTTTGGGCCAAGAGCCAACTTTTGGACCATCCTGTAAAGACGTTTTCGAGAGGTCTGCCAATGCTATATGTTTGCATTGGCTAATTCTTATTCCGGGTCCACCCCAACGGCCCAGGGTGGTATTTAAAGCATGTCAGCGCACGTCATTTTGGCCACTTTTGAGCCGGGACCCGCTCCCACTGGTTTCGACAACATACTTAAGTCTTGGGAGTCAAACCATGTCAAAGTAATATCAATAATGTGCTGACGCCTGTGTTCACACTTGTGCTCACGCCTGTGCTGACGCCTGTGCTTGTGTACAGGTGGCTGGGGGTGAGGATCGAGTTCATTGGAAACTGCATCGTGCTGTTTGCTGCTCTGTTCGCTGTCACAGGGAAAGAGAGTCTGAGCCCGGGACTAGTGGGTCTTTCTGTGTCCTATGCCTTGCAGGTAACGTGTGAGTGCGTGCGTGTGTGTGTGTGTGTGTGTGTGTGTGTGTGTGTGTGTGTGTGTGTGTGTGTGTGTGTGTGTGTGTGTGTATTGGAGTCTAACCCTAACCTGGAGTGACAAAGTATTCTCAAGATAATTTTTTGTGTCCAAAATGAACACAAATAATGAATGTAATTAAATAGTGACTGTAGTTGAGCTAAAGCTGCTTTTAACTATCTCTCCTTTTCAATAATAATATATTAAAAGTGATATTTTCACCCAACTACCGGGCAACCCATGATGATAACGTTCTACAAAGCAGTGATAGAGAGTGAGGTACAGCATCACTACGTGGTCACTGCATTATCCTCTCCATTCAGTTAAAAAATGCACTGCTTAGAAGATCATGTCAGGAGCACGGCTTCTTTAAGGACATCCATGAACTGGCCGTGCGTCTGGCCAACTAAATTCTTGCCGATCCGTCACACGCTCTGTTCTCAGAGTACAAAGTATTGCCTTCAGGAAGGAGGATTGGAGTCCCCTGCTGACTAGAACAGAACAGATATAAAACTCTTTAGTGTCTCTTCTATTGGGCTGTTGAACAGAGCCATATAGACAGTACAGAGCGTCAGGCTCAATTAACGATTTGTGTGGACAATGGAGATTATGGATTGTTTTGGTGTTTTATTGCTATTGTTTATATTTTGTTTTTTGTATATTTGTTTCTGCAGCATGGGTGAGTTTATCTTGAATTTTGAACCTTAAACCCAAATGAGAACATTCTGATAACATTGCATAATCTGCTCATCATGTCCATTGTATTTTGAATGAAGAGTAACTCCTTTCACGTGTGGCAGGTGACCATGTCCCTGAACTGGATGGTGCGCATGACGTCTGACCTGGAGAACAACATCGTGGCCGTGGAGAGAGTGAAGGAGTATTCAGAGACGCAGACAGAGGTGCGGCAGCTGTGGGAGAATGTCACTTATGTTAAAGGGGATGTCAGTCATTATTTTATATTTATTTTTTTGGCAAAACTACGACCAGTAAAAACTCATGGATAAAGTTGAAATAATATGGAGAGAATTCTTATTACAGTACAGAACTTGGACACTATTGATGCCACCACTATGTGATTGACAAACTAAAATTGAAAATACTGTGTAATAATGTTTGGACAGACTGCATATAGTGGTACGAGGCCCACTTCATCGCCCCTGGTGCCCCTCCATCACTGACCCCTGGTCTATACAATGGTTTAATCCCGGGAAACAGGATTACCGGAAAATCTGATCAAAACTTTTTCCCAATTCCCGGGAAGTGTTATGCTGGGAAACAGGAAATTAAAGTTTAAAAAAATTCCAGTGCGCTCCTATTGGAGTGCGCGTCTATTGTTGTCTTACGATAACGTTGCATTCAGTAGCCTACGCAGCAGTATCTACAGCCTAAGGATGTCTACTGCCAGCTTTGCATGGGAGCATTTTAAAATACTTGTAAAGTGTAAAGTGCATGTTGTGTGACCAGATTGCCGGCTGTTCTGGGGGTTGACAAGTGGATTGCAGACATGAGACATTTAGAATCTCAGCATTGTAACCCTAACAATAGCAATAATAAGCAACAGCACTTCAGGTCACACAGAGAATTTTAAGACATTTTATGAAGATTATTGTATACATGCGATACCTTTTTACTCTTACCACTTTTTTGAACCTTGAGCCAAAACAAATTCCTTGTTTGTGACTTCCTGTTTCTTACAAAGGTAATACAAATAATTCTGATTCTGATAGATGTAGTTATATATAAATATTTGTATTGACTAATTGTTATGAAGGTTTGGTGGCATTGTGATTCACATCATAATTTGCATCAGAAACACATTCCAAACCTTGAAGCCATAAAGCACCGTTGCATCTGTTCTGTACACGGAGTTCTCCCATTCGCCGCAGTACCACGCCCCCCGGGGGCCAATGAAAACTTTGGCCTCTGCTATCATGAAAATGTATCCGTTGCTGTACATACTAGCCCCAAACCAAAAGTTATAAAAGAGGACATTTAATGACACTGAATTATAACAAGATACATACAGACACTTTTTGAAAACAGTAGACGGGGCTGGAGTGCTTCTTGGATGTAAAAATTAAATGAGGAAAAAAGTGAGGAAAAAAGTAAACTTATGGTGCTCTTCAGTGGAGGGACCAATGTTGATAGTTCTGACAGAAGACTGAGGCACTCAAAAGTTACAAAAATCTTTAAAAGCCTTTATTTGACATGGCAAAAAGAGGTTAAAATTACGCCTACGCGTTTCAGCCTTCTGGCCTTCTTCAGGGCATACTCGAGAGGAGTGTCTCAGTACAGATTTAAAAAGAATGGTGCTTGTCACATGGTCAGTGGGCGGGCCTACAGTCACAAGGTTTAAAATCTGGAAAAAATATTGAAACTCCCAAACAAAGTGCATAATATTATGTACACACCTATAAAGAATACAATATATAAGAAATATAATCAATGGTCTTTTTTGAAAAGTACTTAAAGAAAAGGAGAATAGTCCAACTCCCCATTTAAGCCTGGGAATTGAGTGGCTTTTAAAGTATATATCCAGTAGGACTCTCTTTGAAGTAATGTCTTGAGTCTATTTCCACCTCTTATTGTCTCTGGAATATGCTCAATGCCACAGATCTTCAGGCTACTGCAACTTCCATGGTTGGAGTCTCTGTAGTGTAGAGCCATTGGATATTGTGGGTTTTTTGTCCTTATAGCTTGCTTGTGTTCGGCCAGTCTGTTTTTCAGCTTCCGTTTTGTACGGCCTACATAGAAGCGGCCGCAGGGACACTCAAGTCTATAGACTACAAAGGTAGTATTGCAATTGATGATTGTTTTGATGGTGAAAGTTTGTCCAGATGAAACTTCCATAAAGTGATTAGTACGCTGAATATGGTCGCAGTATGTACAGTTTCCATATCTATAACAGCCACTTTGAGTGTTCAGCCATGTATTTGATTTAAGGGGTGGAAGGTAGCTGTTAACCAGTTTATTTCCAAGTGTTGGGGCTTTTCTAAAACTTACTGTTGGTGAATCTGGAAGGGCCTCTCTCAATGTACTGTCGCTTTTTAAGATGCTCCAATTCCTGTTGATTATTTGTTTTATTTTATTGGCTTCTGTGCCAAATTCAGTTACAAAGTAGACCTAGTTAGAACAGTCATTTGACTTTGTTTTCTGTATTAGCAGTTGTTCTCGATTCTGATGTTTTGCTCTGTTGTAGGCTGAATCTATGGTGCTGGGGGTGTACCCTCTGTTCTTGAATCTCCTTTTCATTTCTTTGGCATTTTCCTCAAAGTTTTGGTCTGTGTCACAGATTCTCCGTAGTCTTTGAAATTGACCAACTGGTATATTTTGTAGCAGCCATGGAGGATGGAAGCTGTCTGCTTTAAGTATAGTATTCTTATCTGAAGGTTTTCTAAAGATTGTGCTATGTAGATCCCCATAGCTGTCTTTGTATATTTTCAAATCTAGAAAATGTATTTCTGTTAGTGAATAATCTAGACTGAGTTTGATATTGATATTGCTGGTGTTCAAATAAGTATGGAATTCTAAAAGTTCTTGTTCAGATCCAGACCACAAAAGTAGAACATCATCAATATACCGACCCCACCACAATATTTTGTCTTTATATTGGTTGTCCGTTGAAAACACGTATTTCTCTTCCCAAAATCCCATATAGAGATTTGCATAATTTGGTGCAAAGCAGGCTCCCATGGCAGTGCCTTTTTGTTGTCTATACAATTGTTGCTGAAAAAGAAATACATTGTTCTTTAATGTCCATTCTGTCAATACTAGAAAAAGGTCAGCAGGGGGGAGTGTTTCTGGAGGTCTTGTTGAAAGGTAATGTTTCAGTGCCGATATTCCGTCTTCATGGTCGATGTTAGAGTATAAAGACTCTACATCCATAGTTGCAAGATAGCCATGTCCAATATTTTTGATCCTTTTCATTTTGTTTAGGACTTGTGTGCTATCTTGAATGAAGGAAGGCAAACTCTTTACCAAGTGTTTGATGTGAAAATCTATGTATTTAGACAAGGGTTCAGTCCAAGACTCATTCCCACTGATTATGGGTCTTCCTGGTGGGTTTTCGATATTTTTATGTACTTTAGGGAGCATATAGAAGGATGGTATGCGTGGGTTCTTACAAAGTAGAAAATCATGCTCATTCTGTGTAATCCAATTGTTTTCTTTAGCATGCAAAAGTATACAAGTAAGTTCTTTTGTCAGCTTGTCCATGGGGTTAGACTGTAAAGGAACATAGTACTCTCTGTTGGTTAACTGCCGTTTGGCTTCGTTGATGTACTGCTCTCTTCCCCACACCACCACAGCTCCACCTTTGTCAGCTCGTTTGATGACAATGTTCTCATTTTCAGAAAGTTCTTCTAGTGCCTTCTTCTCTTCATAAGTCATATTATATGTGTTCTTCTTTCTTGAAGAAAAAAGATTGTCTACTTCAAATGTTACTTTTTTGTAGAATGTGTTGAGTGTTTGATTATACACATTAGGGGTGAAGGTAGACTTTGGTCTGAACACTTGACTTTTATTCTGATATTCTCCTGAACGGGTGGCAGCTTGACCAGGGTTACAATGGTACCACATTTTTAATTGGAGGTGACGATGAAATTTAAACAAGTCGACTTTAGTTTGAAATTCCTTTGTTTTATTGGTTGGTGCAAATGTTAATCCCTTAGACAACACAGACATCTGGGCAGATGTGAGGGGAATGCCAGATATGTTTATTAGTTGTTCATTCGCGTTCTGCTCCTGGTGTATCTGGGCTGGCTTGGATTTTCTCCTGCTCCGTCTCGTCTTGCGTCTTTTCGTCTCCAAATCCGGTTGTCTTTCTTTGGTCTTGACTCTAAAAAAGAACTGGCACGTTGGTCTTCCACACCAGAGTATTCATCTTCGCTGCTTGGTAGTTGGAAGGAGACTGTTCTTTGTCTCTGTGGTTTATTGTAAAGGTTAGTTTTTTTGCTGATTGTCTTCCATTTGTACACAGTATTCTCTTTATAATCCGACTGGTCTCTTTTGAATTTTGTCAATTTCTCTTGTTTTATTTCATTATTTCATATTTCCTTCTCAAAAGGCAGTTTATGTTCTTTGTGTTTATCACTGAGTACTTCTTTCAATGCAGCCATTTCATTCTGCATTACGGATTGCTGGTTTTTTGCTTCCTCAATTAGCAGGAGCATGAGGTCGAGGGAGCACTTGTTTAGAATGGCTTCCCATTTGTTCTTAAATGTATCGTCATCTGCTCCAAATGATGGAAATTTCCTTATTCTCAGACCTCTTGGTATCATCTTCAATCGCCAGTAGTCAGACAGTGTGGTCATATGTAGTTGTAACTTCATGTCTTTTTCTGAAGCTTTTTTCAAGTCCATAAACACTTTTTTCACATAATGTGGTTGTAAAGGACTTTCATCAAGTAGTGTATCAGAAACTATAATGCTCTCACCTTCTTCATGGGTGTAAGAGAAATAACCAGTGGCCATTTTGTGCAAGACATTACTTCAAAGAGAGTCCTACTGGATATATACTTTAAAAGCCACTCAATTCCCAGGCTTAAATGGGGAGTTGGACTATTCTCCTTTTCTTTAAGTACTTTTCAAAAAAGACCATTGATTATATTTCTTATATATTGTATTCTTTATAGGTGTGTACATAATATTATGCACTTTGTTTGGGAGTTTCAATATTTTTTCCAGATTTTAAACCTTGTGACTGTAGGCCCGCCCACTGACCATGTGACAAGCACCATTCTTTTTAAATCTGTACTGAGACACTCCTCTCGAGTATGCCCTGAAGAAGGCCAGAAGGCTGAAACGCGTAGGCGTAATTTTAACCTCTTTTTGCCATGTCAAATAAAGGCTTTTAAAGATTTTTGTAACTTTTGAGTGCCTCAGTCTTCTGTCAGATACATACAGACACCTCTGCACCTTCTCCACCGACTCCCACTTTTGACTGCTGTCGTTGTGTCCTTGGGCAAGACACTTAACCCCACTTTGCCCAAAGCCCCCACTGAAAGATCAAGGCTATGCTCACACTCAGAGAGCAGCCGTCCTCCTGTGGACTCACCACCTGCCGAGGGTCAGTGAGGGGCTGGTGCTATGAGACTTGGGTGGCATCTCTGACTGCCACCCCCCTGACCCAGAAATGGATTAAAGGGTAGAAAATGGATGGATGGATGGACATACAGACATAACATCTTTCCCCAAGGAGAGATGGTTGGAGAGAGAGCGAGAACCCTGGAGGCTCTGGGCCTCAGTATTAGGCTGCTACATGTTGCATAGAGAGTTGACACCGACCAAGAGCCCAAACTAGTCCATCCCAGCTATCTATATACCGGCTGTGAGGTTACTCTCAGGTTACACTGGATTGGTCAGGGGGTCAGCCAGGAGCAAGCCAGCCCCCATGGAGGGGGGACATGGATATCAGATAAGGGGGAAAATCCATACCAACAGCCTCCACATGTTGAAGAATGATAAACTAATTAGATGGACTTTAATGAGTTGTTCAGGAGAGTTGTGTGTGTGCTCCCACAGGCGCCGTGGGAGATCCAAGACAAGAAGCCGCCTCCTGATTGGCCGCTGCAGGGAAATGTCCAGTTCAGAGACTACAGCGTGAGATACAGAGAAGGACTGGACCTCGTGCTCAAGAACCTCAGCCTGAGCGTCCGAGGAGGCGAGAAGGTCTGCAGCTCAGCATTTAGGGCTGTAACCATGGATGTGTTATAATATCTGAATAGGGTGATAGCTTGGAGCTGATTGATCCATGTTCTCGGGGGATTCACGCGGTACTGCAGACTAAACAAGACTAAATTCACGAGGGCTACACAGACCGTTTTCCCCATAGAACTCAATGTAAACTAAAACAGCTCGACCTCAGCTGATAGAGAACCTGACAGAGAACCTACACCTTTCATAAAGGTCGTTCGTCATCCTAAACTTTTTTTGTTCTTAAATCCTTCAGTTTTCTTTAAATCCAATGAAACAAACTCTGCTCGATTGTCTCCCACTCTAACTCCGCTCTGATCAGCAGCTCTGATCAGCAGCTCTGATTGGTCAAAATGCGGCCAAGTCCCTCTGTGCACGTGCATGAGAGCCACACACGCGTAGTTAGTGCAATGCATCATGGGAGTTCATTCACTGCGCAGAACCAGGAAGACCAGACGATACCCAAATATGGGCGAGTTTTGCTAATCTTTCGGTCTCCATGGTGACAAATGCGCTACTGAGCACAAGCCATTGATTTGAATAGGGCGCCATCTTGGATCACCGGGGCTTGGCTGTAACAAACAAGTGTTTCGGTAGCCTCCTAGTACACGTCAAACTTTAATGAGAGCATGGCCCTCACTGAGAGACAGTGCAAATACGACATGTTTTAAAGATCATTTTATCAAAAGAAAACAACCACAGCATTTTTTCACCATGAAGATTGAACCCTGAATGAAATAAGCAATAGATCAAACTGTCTTATTGCTTTCGGTCCAGTTGTATTCCAGTCCCAGCAGCTGGACTCATTTTGTTCATAGAAATATACATAAATTATATACATTTCCAATTCAATAAACGTAATTATTTGGCCAAAAAACGTCCATGAAAAAAGATGAGCTATAAAGCTTTCCACTAACACTTGATTCTTGGTTTTCTAGTTTTTTTCTACAAACCCAAATGTTTACTTTCTCCACTTTAGAGAGTAAAACTCTAGAAGAGAATATTTGCATAGATCTGCTCCAAAAATCATATATTTAGCACACACACAATCACAGCCCGTTTTTCCACATTTTTCCAAAAAAGCCCACAGAAAGCTGACTCCGGGCCCCAGCAGGAGACTAGTCCATGATGGTTCATATGACATTAACATTGAACTTGAAACACTGTTGTTAAGAATATAAATGACTAAATGTAAAAAGCTGTGTTGTGGGTTGTGGTGTGCAGATTGGAATTGTGGGTCGCACTGGAGCAGGGAAGTCGTCCATGACTCTGTGCCTGTTCCGTCTGTTGGAGGCAGCGGGAGGAGACATCACCATCGACGATGTGAAGATATCGGAGATCGGACTCCACGACCTGCGCTCCAAGCTCACCATCATCCCACAGGTGCACGCCACAAACCACTGACCTTCAACTCTACGCTCTAAACCTGGTTATTCAGAAACATGTGCAGGATGTTGGCTTTGAGTGAACAATATATTTTATTTAAAAAGGAAGAAGATCATAGGATAATTTATGAGTTTCTAGTTTCATAACAACTTCAGAATGTAACTCAGTCATAGCAGTGGCCTGTAAGCCTGAAGGTTGTGGGTTCAATCCCCCGACGAGACCTTCTCTGTCTACTCCCACTGATGTCTGCTGCCGTTGTGTCCTTAGGCAAGACACTTAACCCCACTTTGCCTGAAACCCCTGCTGAACGATCAAGGCTGTGCTCTCACAGACAGAGCAGCCATCCTCCTGTGGACTCACCACCTGCTGCAGGCCAGTCCCTGTGCTTCTTATACAGGGACTGGATGAGGAGCCCCGGGGGCATGTTTGTGCCATATGGTTCCTCTGGCACTAACATGTCACAGATGTACTTTGGTGCGAGGCCATGGAGAGACTTTTAACAAACAGAGATCCTTTAAATTCTGTTCTCTGAGAACAGGACTAATGTGATCATACTTCCTGGTTCTAGTCAGGACTAATGTGATCATACTTCCTGGTTCTAGTCAGGACTCGAGCGGCTGCGTTTTGAATGTATTGCAGCTGTTTGGAAAGCCCAGTGAACAAGCCATTACAATCTAATCGACTGGAGACAAATGCATGGATAAGAATCTCCAAGTCTGCTTTAGACACTATGTTTTTCATTTTTAGCAAAGTTTTTTAGGCGGTAAAAGCTGCTGATGTTACTGATTTGATGTGGCTATTACACATGAAGTCTGAGTCCATTATTACGCCTAGTTTTCTGCCCTGAGGTGACGGTCTCTGTGTGGTTTGGTGTTGTCCCTCAGGAGCCGGTGCTGTTCTCAGGGAGCCTCAGAATGAACCTGGACCCGTTTGACACGTACAGCGACGAGGACGTGTGGACGGCTCTGGAACACGCTCATCTGCACAAGTTTGTGAGCACCCAGCCGGCTCAGCTGATGCTGGAGTGTGCTGAGGGCGGAGAGAACCTCAGGTCAGCGCCCACCACTCTCATTACACACTATGGTACAACATTAACATTGAGTATCTTATAACAACCACTGCAAAAATATAGATTGACCTTTTATTTTAATTTAAATATGTAAGATTTTCAAGTCATCATTAAAGGGCCCTACTCTGTCAAAAGGCATTAATAAACCTGCTCTTTTTTTATTTAAAGCTGCACCAACTGACTTTATTTTCGTATTCATTACGAAAATGCAATCCATATCCATGCAGTGCATTGGGATATACGTCCTTTTGAAGAATAAGTGGCGCAGGTTTGTGCTGGCGTGACATTATATTTTAGATCGAGTTTTGATGAAACAAGGAAGAGATTGTGTTTCGGGTCGCAGATTGTGACCAATCACAGCGGACCACTGGCCCCCACTTTCTTGAGAAATCTACAGGTCTGTGGTTAGCACAGACAACTGAGGTAAACAAACGGCGGAGGCTAACCTGAAGCTTGTGTCTTCGTTAACGGTTACTGTTTACTCAGCAAAACAGCCATCCAAAAGAAAGTCTCGTTCCTCCGCGCTCCCCGGTTCAATCATTCTATGGTCACGCCATCAGATTCAGATTCAGATTCATATATTATTTTGTCTCCTGAGGGAGAAATGTGTCTTCGAGCGGGGGGGGGGGGGGGGGGACAACACACACAAAAACAGACAATACACACATAACATTCGTTGACACTAATACACAATCACCTGATGTTATTCAGCAGCTTTATGGACTGAGGTAAAAAAAGAGTTTTTTTGCACATCCACGTTCAAAAGTTCCATATTCCATATTGTGAGACGCTAGCTCCATGAACACACGCTGAGGGGGAGAGGGGGAGGGGGTAGTGGGGGGCGATAGCTTCGTGGGTGCGGGGAGGGGAGCAGAATGAGAGAGGCCAGCGAAACCGCTGCTTCCAAATCCCAAAGTCAGTTAGTGCAGCTTTAACTGATTACAGTAGTTCACAGATAATTGGATTGTACAGCCCCTATATCTAGTTATTGTTTTCACTTTGATGCAAACAAGTGAGGGGAGTATAAAAGTGAATCAAACATGCACAAATCTGTCTGTAAACATCTGTGAGTGAGTCAAATGTGGGTAAACAACACGGTCAAAGGCTGTGAGAAGTCCATATGAGTGACTTTTGCCGACTTGTGTCGAGACAGAAAAAGTTTGGACACTGGTCTTAGAAGGCTGAAAAAAAATCATCTTAGAGCATTTTATTGAAACGCGTGTGTGTGAGCTAATGTGTGTCTCTGTGCATGTGTGTGTGTGTGTTTGACTGTCTGTGTGTGTGTGTCTATGTCTGTGTGTGTCTTTGTGTATGTCTTTGTGTGTGTGTGTCAGTGTGGGCCAGAGGCAGCTGGTGTGTCTGGCTCGCGCTCTCCTCAGGAAAACCCGGATCCTGATCCTGGACGAGGCCACAGCCGCCATCGACCTGGAGACGGACGACCTGATCCAGTCCACCATCCGCACCCAGTTTGAGGAGTGCACCGTGTTCACCATCGCCCACCGCCTCAACACCATCATGGACTACACCAGGTGGGACGAGTCACCTGCACACAGCAACATCCACCCCCTTATCCCCCCATTGCTCATTTTGAAGCTGCCTCTTTCCCACTGAGCAAAAACACGACAGGTTTCTCACATTAAAGGTCCCCTCATCCTTCCTCCCACACAGAGCCACACAGATCTCTGTTTTTCAATATAGCAAATCTAGACAGCAATACAAGCAAACTGTTGGAGAAGGGATGCACTGATATTGGTGGCTGAGTGGTTTTGCTCCTCAGCAAGTTAGTCATGGGTTCAAATCCCGGTTGGAATAGAGTCTTAGTAGAGTTTCCTCCGAGTGCTACTACTGCTAAAACCATGTAATGAGTGAGTGAGTGGATGGTGTTGGTTGAAGGCTTTGATGGTCCAGTGTGTTCGGCGTCTCGTTTCCGTTATCACCGTTTGTGAAAGGGAAAATATCTGAACTCTGAACATTGTAAAGCGCTTTGTGTGACCTTGTTTTGTAAAATACGCGATATAAATATACAGTACATTACTTACTTACATAGGCTTGTACTCATACTCATACCATAGAACCCAATGCCTGGAACCGATACCCACATTTTTATTTTACATCAGCGTTACGACAGCAGACAGCTGTGGCACGTGTTGCCATGGTGATCTTCAAAATAAGGCAGCTAGTTCAAGCTAGTGGGAAGCTAGCGGCAAGTGGACAAGATGTCGGCCGTATAGCAGTTTTTTAAAGTAAGTGAACCGCACTGTTCTTAAAACTCAGTGACGGTGGCTCTTATTGTTGACTGTTAAAACAATCGCTAAAATGTTTAATTGTTAAAGCATTTTCTTATTGTTGAAATGAGAAATAAAACAAGTACATTTTCAGTTGTATTAGTTTAATGAATTGCAGTAATATTTATGTGCAGAACTCGTATCGGTATTCGGTATCGGCATTACTCTAATGAAAGTACTGAATCCCTCTGTTTGATGCCTCTTTGCTTCCATATTTGTCTACCAAAGGTGGTTATGAAACGGCCTGCACACTCAAATGGGACAATATTTTGCATAAGGACAGCGTGATCAAGAGTGAAGCTCTGACTGTCAGGAGTTGGGCTCGGCAAAACTTTGATGTTATGCAAAGTTTGAACATGGAAACTTTGCATTCCGAAGTTTGCATGTTCAAAATACAACAGGGACTTTTACATAGTGGTAACTTTTCAATACGAAAAGTCCTTTTTTTCTGCTCCACATGGAAGCTAAACTGTCTTTAGTCCAGTGGTCTCCTCCCTGTAGCTCGCCACCCTCTTCCAGGTAGCTCGCCAAAGGACTTAGAAATGATAAATCAAATAATATACTTCAAATTTATTGTATTATTCATTATCATTATTTATTATTGTAAATGCACTGGTAGCAAATATGTGATGATAAATGATGACTGTTCCCAATATCAGGCTTCTTCACACCAATATATCGTCCAATTTTCCCCATGGGCCGCTAAAGGGGTAGCTCTCTGCCTTCGTCCCAGGAAAGTAGCTCTCTGGGGAGAAAAGGTTGGAGACACCTGCTTTAGTCCTGAGGTCACTGTGCTGAGACTTATTTTCAAAGTCATGAGTTTGATTCGATTTGATTTGAACTCTGCAAACTATTCAAGTCTAAATCTATTCTAATACATGTGGATTCACAAACACAATATCAAAATCTAAACAGCAGGACCACAGAGAGCTCTAAACCATAGATTTTTCAAGCTCAGAACAGTGAGTGTGACACAAGCGGGTTAATCTTTATCTTTATTTATATAGCGCCTTTCACAGACCACAGTCACAAAGCGGTTTACAATTGTTATTTTTGGGCATTTGTCTCTCACTCCACACAGAGATGGGAGCGGGGTCGCCAGTACAGTAGGCGCATGCCAGACCTATTGTACATGTTTTTAGTGATAGGGGAAACCGGAGTACCCGGAGGAAACCTACGCAGACACAGGGAGAACATGCAAACTCCACTCAGAAAGGCCCTGGTCCGACCGGGATTCGAACCCAGGACCTTCTTGCTGAGAGGCGAGAGTGCTATCCGCTGTCCCTTTCCTTCCCGCTGTTTTCCAGAGTCGCCTTTTCAACCAGTAACATTTGTAATCCTTGTCTGTGTCTGAAGCTACAGGCAGAAAGCTTTATCATGGACTCAACACGAAGAAAACACACATTTTGACAATTGAGACAAGTCTTTCTCCACCCACTCCTACTAATGTTTGCTGTCGTTGTGTCCTTGGGCAAGATACTTAACCCTACTTTGTCTATTTGTGGCCATACTTGCATGAAAACAGCCAAATCCCGTCAGACCTCTGAAGCTGTGCAGGGCAGGGCCTGGTTAGTACAGTGATGGGAGACCTTTGGGAACACCAGATGCTACAGAGAGGCGGCTGTAAGAATGGTTGGTGGTGGTCAGAGGGGCTGATGGCACATACTGGTTGCCTCGCTTCTGTCAGTTTGCCCCAGGGCAGCTGTGGCTATTGTAGTAGTTTATCACCACCATGTATGGAGTGAAAGAATAATGACATTTGAAGTGTCCAAAAGAGCACTGTATAAAACCGATGCCTTATTATTATTATTATTATTATTATTATTATTATTATTATTATTATTATTATTATTATTATTATTATTATTATGAATGACCACATGTGCTTCTGTTTGCAGAGTTCTGGTTTTGGATAAGGGAAGAATTGCAGAGTTCGACACTCCTACAAACCTCCTGTCGCAGAGAGGAATCTTCTACGGCATGGCTAAAGATGCAGGGCTGGCTCAGTAGGGCACCGCTCTGCTCCCACCGCCGGGCCCTGGGGCAACGAGCTCCTGTCACAAAAGTCACTACAAACCCCTGTGCTCCTCTCAACACACGAGTCACCAGGATTTTCATTCCAACGACCTAATTATGTGCTTACTTTCTCAGGACGTATATCATTTGTATTTCAATCTGGTTCGCCAAACTGCTGGGGTTTAGATCTGTTACAACTTTGCCACTAATTGATTTCATGTTTTACACTAATTTAGTCATCCATGAATGTGTTTCGGGACCAAACCTGGATCATGTTTCTACAGAATTCCACAACAATGAAAGTACATGTACATTGGGAGCTCCACATGTCGGCACCGGCTTCTAGTCCAGACATTACAGTAATATGGGAGTCATATGTATCGATGCCGGAAAGCTGAAGATGGAAGAAAACATTCCAAGTTAATAAAGTAACTCCAACGTTTACAGTAAAATGCATTGGAAATTATTGTGACCAGGGCCCGGACGCCTCTCCCCCCTCGCCCTCTCACCCCCTCCCTCCTCCCTTCAGCTCGGCTCAGGCAGCTTGTTAACATCACAGACTCTTATTGGCGCATTTGACATCACTATAACTTTATAACCTGAGAAAGCAGCTCGTACGTCGATGACAGAGGCACACACACACAGACACAGACACACATATGAAAGACACACAATCACCTGCCCGCACACATGGCTGGTCATTCTCTCCAACAGAGCATCACACACCCACACACACACACACACACAAACCCTTTCACACAAAACACACTTTCACACACACACACAAACACTTTTTCACACAAATTCAAACACACACACTCAAAAGACACACAATCACCTCCACGCACACATGATGGGTCATTCTCTTTACCAGAGCATCACAGTACACACACACACTTTCACACTTAAGCACACACACACTTTCACTCTTAATCACACACACACACAAACACTTAAGCACACACACAAACAAACACTTTTTCACACAATTTCAAACACATACACACACACACTTTCACACACACGCATATACTTTCACATACCAACTTTCACACACACTCTTACATCTACACACACTTTCACACACACAATAACAACATGAGAATAAATACAAATCCTCAACTTTAGCCTGGGACATGATAAGTTCTAGAGATTTCTGAATCTTATCCCACATTAAAACTGAGGAAGTATAGTTCATGAATAAAGATAGATTGTAAAACAGAACACTGCTTTTTCTTGTTACAAAGAAAAATAATGGAATAGTCTCAAGTCTTTCAAACCCATCTGTGCCGAGTCTGTTTTGAGGCTCCATGGCTGACACTAAAGCTTTGAAGTAATAATGATATAAATCCTGTAGATGTTATAATTCTAGATTGTAGAACCTCGCACCGTCCAAGACCATCAGATAAAGGTCACATGACTCCTGCCGCGGGGCCAAGCCGGGCCAAGCCGGGCCGAGCGGGGCCGAGCGGGGCCGAGCGGGGCCGAGCGTGAGCGACCGTTAGTGCCTTCTGCCAGAATGTACCGTTGCTGTCAAATATTTATGCTGAAAAGCTAAAACAAGCTTTTATATTTTTATTTTTTTTCTACAACCAAGAATACTGTGCCACTGTACCTCACTGAAAGTTTAGTGACAATGACTATTATTTAAGTGAAAGGAATGTCTCTGCTCGTGAACTGTTTTATTGTGTGTGATTCTCTCGTGAAGCAAATTTTTACAAACTTGAAATGTCAACGTATATAAACTATGTCTTTATTAAAAAAATGAATAATGAAAATAGTGCTTTTCTTTAGTATTCAAACGCTACTATTCTGTATGAGTGACAGAATCTGTATGAGTGACAGAAGAATCATGGAGCATGTGTTTGTCATATCCAGCAGAGGGCGCTCATGTCATACGTTTACATAGAGCAGGTAAACAGGGAGTCCATTTATCAATCATAATAATAATAATAATAGTATTCCAGAAAAATGCGTTTGATTAAAAAGGTACTTGCTCATCGCTTGTACATAGATGGAGCAAAACTTTGTCCATGAGCACTTCACTATTGGGATTTACTGAACTAGGGGGTTAGCATTGTCCAACTAACTCTGTCTCCTATTGACATACATTGGAAAGCAAACTCAATTCATTAAAATTATTCTTGTATGGCCCTAAATCACAGCAGCAGTTACATTGGAAGACTTTACAAAGTTGTTGATTTTTTTTTTTTTACATAAAACCATTGGTCTATAAGGGACAAATGATCATTGTCCAAAAATAGATTCCTCATACTTAGATTTCTCAGTCTAAAAAGTGAGAAATCTCAGGAAGGACCACAGATGGACAGGCTTTAGATCCAGGACTCAGGCTATAGATCCAGGACTGAGGTTGTAGATCCAGGACTCAGGCTGTAGAACCAGGACTGAGGCTGTAGATCCAGGACTGAGGCTGTAGATCCAGGACTGAGGCTATAGATCCAGGACCGAGGCTGTGGATCCAGGACTCAGGCTGTGGATCCAGGACTCAGGCTGTAGAACGAGGACTGTAGATCCAGGACTGAGGCTGTAGATCCAGGACTGAGTCTGTCCAGGACTGAGTAGATCCACGACTGAGGCTGTAGATCCAGGGTTGAGGCTGTTGATGCAGGACTCAGGCTGTAGAACAGTGTGTGTCAAACTCATTTTGGTCGGGGCCAAAACTCATCTGTGGATATTTGTTAATGCATTTTCACAATTATGAGGATATTTAGACAAAAGGACAAAAGGAACCTGAGTTTGGATGTTCATTTTTTCTGGACAAAACTAGAGATACAGTTTGTTTGGACTGTTAAAAACTGGGTCAAAATTAAAGGATTTGCCAAAAATTTTGTATTAACAAATTCATAATATGTGTTGGGTTAAAATTTTTGAATCAAATTATGTGGTTATAAGTTTGTTTAAAATTAGGTATAACATGCCATGGCAGCTCATATCAACCTTACCCTCAATGCTGCAAGTTAACGTCAATAATTGAGTCACTTCAGGGGCCACTGAAAACGGTCTGGCGGGCCGCACTTGGCCCTGGGGCCTTGTGTTTGACACCTGTGCTGTAGAACGAGGGCTGAGGCTATGGCAGAGGAAGGTGTCAGGGAGTTTTGCCCTCTTGATTCAAAAAGTCAATGAGACCCTAAAGTTATTTTTTACCCTGTTGCCCGTGGCAAAGACAAACGATCCCCCTTCTATGTCAAAGGCAAATGTACACCTCGCACAAACATCAAACCAGCCTCAGCCGTTTCACTGATTTGCCTAAAAATCACTCCACATCATCTCATCACATGTACCATCAATAGTTGTTCGTAGAATTTGGATTAGTCATGAGCTCCAGTGGAGGATTAGGAGGACCAAGGTGGACAATGGAAAAAAGCTGGAGCAGAAGCTGGCTCAGGGAAACACCCGGGACGTGTGGAGAGGCTGGTTTTTGACAGAGTGCCAGAGGGACAGCAGATAGAGACCAGCGCCGGGCGGATAAAATTAACCAATATTTCAACCGGTTTGATTCTCCCTCCTCTCCATCTGCCCCCCTTCCAGCCCCCACCTCTTCACACGTCTCCAGCCCAGTGGACACTGCCTTCGGCTGCCCCGGTGCACCGGCCCCCACACCCCCGATCCTCACCTCTGAGAGTACAACCCAGTACCCCCCCCCCCCCCCCCCCCCCCACTCCCACCTCTCCATCACACCGGACCAGGGGAGGAGTGCCGCTCAAGCGACTGAAGCAGAGGGAGACCGCAGGACCGGACGGGATCAGTCCCAGGCTGCTGAGGACCTGTGCAGACCAGCTCTCTGAGGTCCTCAGCTACATGTACAACCTGAGCCTCAGCCTGGAGAGGCTCAGGATGGAATGTGAAAAATGAAGAAAAGTGAAATTGAGGACCTTTAATGTCTGTGGCAGGGTTCCGCAATTTACCAGATGCATTGACATCATCCAGTCACGTGGTTGTGCATGAGCTTACGGCGGAATTAGTGGAAACTAGCATTGCATTGCAAAACGGACTACAACTCTTAAAAACGGAGCTTCCTCTCCTAAATCGAGACGTGGCTGCTTCAAGCACATGTTCGATTACGTTATTGGTGAAAGTAGGAAATCTTGTCGGGGATCACAAATAGTGGCATTTGGAGAAGGATTGCCTAACTGGATGTTCACCCGTACCGTCTCCCCCCAGTCAATTTTATCGATTAAATGAAATGCCCGTATTCATCCCCACATGATCTTTTTCATTATGTCGTTAACAATGCATCCCCTTACACTGGAGCAGATTTAAATGTACATTTTGCTGGTAGCATTAGCAATGCACTTTTCTGTCTACAGCCAAACATGATACATATTGACGAAGAGGAAAATAGTGAAAAACACAACTTACGTCTGATGGTGCTTTCAGACCGCCAACGCTGAAACGCTGAAGCCCCGCTCATCAGACGTGCATTCTCTAGTTTTCAGACGCAGGGGTCTTCACACCAGAACGTCCTGACACGAGCCGGAAGTGCCGGACGGCTCCGATGCTAACAGAGCTATGCTAGCGGCTTCTTGTGTACAGATCTTCTCCAATATGCAGCTTTGCAGCGTGTCTTTGTTCAGAGGTCACGGGAGAACGCATATATTCACAAGCACACCGTCCCCCATTGTCAACCCTGGTTTGAGTTCTGGTGAAGCCTGGTGTGGGTCCTGTTTTGGCTGTTTCTGAGTATTTTCAGTCTGCTCGCTCAGTCCGCTAATGTCCCCGTGACCACTTTGCTGCTCTCTGATTGGTCGCTGCACGAACGTCCCAAGGAAAGGATGAGCAGAATCCATCTCCTGTGGGCGTCAATTTTTCGCTCCTGCTCCTCCCCTTTGACTTTCCCGTGCGTGTCTACTGAACAGTCCGTCTGTGCGTGCTGAGAGGTCCGTGCGTTGTGACGCTGCAATGCGCGCCACCATAGACTTTGCATTGAAACCCGACGCAACGCATGATCCGGTCTGAAAGCACCATAAGATCAGATGAGAGATCTTTTATTTGTGCCACAGTGAATAAATTTCAATCTTGCAGCGCACATACAGCACAGTAGTAAGAGCACACATTTGACTTCAAGCGTTCCTTGTGTCATTGTCCTCCAAATAAATTTATGGAAAGAAAATAAATACAAAATTGTAGTTGATTTATCTTGTAAAAAGATAAATCCCAGTCCTTTTGGTTGATTGCCGCCATCGTCGTCTTCTGTCTTCATGACGAGCAGGTATCAGATAAAAAACACATTTGGCTTATGTCCTTCAGAATCAGAATATTTTTTATTGCCACGTAAGTAACAAACAAGTTACCACTTGGAAATTGTTTTGGCAAAGAGCGTGCCACTTCGCCATTTGCGGCGCTGTTTGCGGTTGCCTGTTAGTACAACCAACCGCACTGCTAAATGTCACAATTTTGGCTGTTATTCGGTGAAACAGGTTGTTTTGGTCAAGTTTCCGAAGGCTCACGGTTAGACTTCAGCCGTCTGTCATGGAGAGTGGGCGTGGCCTGGACGTCACATGCAAGGGGTCAATAGGCAGCTTTGGAGCCGCATTGCTTTGGAACTTTCAGGTTCTTTTGGCTTTCACACAATAAAAATGTTCATAAAAAATGTACAGTGTTTTTTATTGATGTTTTATTTCAACTTATCTATGATCTACACGAGGCTGACAGGAGGCGCCTCTCCGCATTGGTCCCATACCTTGTGCCTTTCTGACAAAAATCAAACTGAAACAGAGCGATAAGATTTGTGACAAACCTCAGCAGAAGCTACAGAGAGTGTGGAACAGAGACACATGGAAGAAGAATGTTCTCCGCAGAACTGCTCCAGCTCAGATTCAGACGGATGCGCTTCTCTCTGATCAATACAAAGATACATGAAGTGAATGAATGAACAGATGATGGTGCGGGTGAGAAACGAGAGGAGAGAGAACTCTGAAATGAAATGAAACATTCACCGTTCTCCACACGGGACACAAGTAAAACATAAGTAGAATACATTTGATCAAGAACAAGTCACTTTATATGTCTGATTCACTGATATACGTCTAGTCATAAGCTCGCTTTTCCCCGCCGGCGGAAACACGCCGAGTGCCAGATCCATTCTGTTTCAGATCAATTAGATTTATAGCAACACAAACACATGAAAAGAAACCCAAACTCCCCAAGACATACTCCGCCTCTCAAAGGTAAACGCCTCCAGGAAGTAGAAGGGTTTCTGTCCAATCACGTCGAAGCATTTCCTGTTTCTAGGCAGGATTAGCTTTCCAACTATGCCAAGAAGTACGTGATTGGTCCAGGATAGATAGACAAAGACGTGCGTGAAAACGAGTTGTCACTCTGCAAAAAATTAATTACGCACAGAGACTCTCGGAGTGAGTTTGTATTAAACGTATGTAATTTTTTTTATTGAGACATTCCACGTTTTACTTTTTTGTGCCAAACTGTGCCAAATGCATTTCTGCCTGAATTTTTCACATCAAAACCTGCATAAATTGTTATTTTTTTGGCATCTAGACATAAACTTTACTCCAAGGTGTCAGTAAAAGGTCGAAGTTGCATTTGATAACGTTTATTTTCTTCTTTTCAAGAAATTATGTCATATATACATTATTCTTATTTGCGCATTTTAGGCGAACCAACCTTTTTTGATAATGTAGCCTAATGTACTCTCGCAAACTATTGTGGACATGAAAATGTTCACATCCACAGAATCCCCAAAGACTAACTTTAAATTTTATTACAATTTCTAGCATTTTCAACAATGTGAAAAGGCCTGTGTAGTACCTTTATGGGAATAGGCCTGAGAGTTTAGAGATTTTAAGAAGCAGCAGATTAACAGTATCGGATTCAATGATAATAAGTCTTAGAAACAATGCACCCCCCCCACCCCCCAAGCCCCCCCCAATAAATACCCCAAAAGCACCGCCCCAGAACCCCCCCCCCCCCCCCCCCCCCCCACCCCTAAATGTTATAGACGACACCTCATATTATGGCTAGATCCTGTATCTCGAGCTGTTAGAGTGTTTTAACCCTCGAACTCTGAAGATGCTTGCACACTCCAATGTGCTCAGCCGCAATTCTCATGTGATGTATGATGTAACCCCACTCTATGCACTTCTAACTGCGCGCTGCCATCGTGTTGCAGCGTCTCAAATGCATCCCCGCACTCACACATGACAGACCGCACGACCACACACCCACACCAACCATAGTTGTCAGGACGAGACACCAATGTGTCGGTATCACCACTATCGCCCTTTCTACGGAGCTCGTGACATGATCATATCATCGCATCTCAGCCAGCTCGCCCTTCGACCTCGATATCTCACGACATCTCGCTACTTGCGATCCACGAGCAAGATCTCATCCATCGCTATAAACCTGTACACTCGCTCCTACTGATTCCAGGATCTCCCACAACTGTCTCTCGCCGCGGCTCACTCGACTGCACATGTATCCATCGCCAGTATTCGCGATAGGCGAGCTTACTGCCGCGACTGTCCTCTCGTCTTATCCCCATTGTAGATCCTGATAGCCCCTCCCTATCCCTCACCTTTACCATTGAGTCCTCCTCACGTCCGTGCATATTGACCGTCTATCCCTACACGCGCGCACGAGACGCCATATTCATCACTGTTTACGATACCCACCTACGCGACTGCCGTAGCCTAGCAAACCCCCCGTCAAATCTTCTCCATCATGTCCAATGTCTTCTGACTGCCCATCATATACTCTCCCTCCTCCGATGCGCCATGCAATTATGCACCTCTCAACACTCCCAGCCTCCCATGCGTCTGACGATTCATCACCGATATGGTATACACGCCCGTACAGCGCGTTCATACAGCTCACGAGGTGCTTGCGCTTCGCTCACAGTGCTCACTTAATGGTTTTGTAGTCGCCCAATATGTTCAGTCCTCATCGATGATGCTGCATTCCGTTCTGTCCGACCTCTTGACGAGTCTCTCCCCTCCGAGACCTGACGTACATCTATGCTGATATGATAGTGCACGCATACGGAGTGACTTCTACACCGCTGAGAGTATGCTATTCTATGCTCTGTAGGACTAGCCTCACCATAACACGCGCCCCCACGTGTCCTTTCCAGCTTATGACCGTGCCCCTCATTCACACTACACCACCCTAGTCGTAGTCACAGGTGAATGACTCCCATGCGAGATATCAGGCCTGCCCGCGACGCAAGGCTGGTTTATACTGTGTGTCGACTCCGCGAGTCACTGAGTTCACCTATGCTGACATCCCTGTGTGCCGGCGTATGCATTCCCGTGATTGCAGGCCTCCGCGCCCAGATCACCACGATAACATATCCGTAGTATCTGGCGCGCAGCACCTCGCCGTGACGGAGTGCGTGCCCCCGACTGGTCTGTCTGAGACTGCGAATATTGCCCGATTGCAAATGCGTCCACTGATACACTTATTCCAGACACGTAGGCAGTGGATTGCGCAAGAGACTGAGCCCAATGCTGCACAATAGTCCGCCTACACAGACAGGTGATGGCAGACGCGGGATAGGCCAGAATAGATGCGCAAGCTCGACAGGATTCGTTCTCACTGCGAGTAACGGACATCTACGATCTATGCAAGACTGACATGATAGCAGACGCCATCCAGCAGCACGCAGTCACAATCTCTACTAGGCTGAACACTGCCTCTTGCTGATCGGCCCGTCCTCTCCGTCACCCCTCATACCTGTCGTGTGCGTGTTACTTGACTCCTGGCTCTTGTGCATCACACAGTCAAGATCGACTTTGAAGTCCTGACTCTAGCACTCGGAAGCCGATGCCTATCTATGCACACGCACTCCCGCGACGCCCTCGCTCGGCTCACGTACCAGCCTGCGCGAGCTACCAATTAACTCCGCCCCGTCAGATCGTAGCCCGCCGACGAGTCCCAGAAACCCTCCCATTCTGATCAGATCCCTCTCGACTGTGACCTCAGTCGCTACCGGCGCTGCATATGACCCACCATGCCAGGCTCATCACCGTTCAGTGTCCAAGTTCACTCTCGCTCATCGTGCGCGACCTTCGTCCCCTCGTACGCATAGACTAGTCTCACTGGCGACCATAGCATAGACGATGATCTCAGAATCATCCCAGAGTCCGCTGCTGTGAGTATATCGCACCCGCCCAGCGTCCACCATAACTATCTTGTGAAGAACACACCAGAACCACGCACCGAGTGTCAATGAACCTAACTGGCCAGAAACTCCGCACATCAATACATCCCTCCTCTCACTAGCCCGGTCACCACACGAGTCACCCCCTGACACACGTCACACCAAGAGATAGACCAACACAGGCACTAGAATTGATATAACCACTCGTCAAACTGTCATATGGCTGAGCGATTCATACGAACTGCCTCACACTGCATTGTGACCGATGATCCTGACGACCACTCAGCCCCCAGACGTGTGTACAGCCCCCCATGCATCTGCGCCTGGAGACCTACGCATCCCCCTGACCGGATCACGCTTGTGGAGACATGCAACTAGACTTATATCGCGAGGGTGCCCACTTGCCGTGACACAAGCTCTGAGTCACCGTGTGTTCGATTGCCCCGGATCCCATGTGCACAGCTACTCCACACATGCAATTAGCCTGCCCGCACTAGTATCCGACGACCCTACGCTATGGTCATCCTAGTTGTGCCTCCGTGCCGTGTAGGTCTTAGCTACCCGCCCTCACCCCGCTACTCGGCTATGGCAGACCATCGACGGCTACCAGAGCCTACAGGCCACACCCGGATGTATCCTCCGCCGTAATTAGGTCGCCATCTCAGTGTCCAGTCTCCCAATGATCTCGCATGTATTAGTTCCCCTACATGCCCCATCTTGAGCATCATTCGTACCGTGACATTCGGGTGTCGTTGACCGCGCTCATTTGATGCACGCGGACCCCTATTGCGGTTGTCGGCATCCCGTAGCTCCAAGCAACGCGCGCGTATCGACGACCCCCCATCTGCGAGTCCATGGTACCTCGCCCCCTAGATCCGCGCACCCTTCCGCACAGAGCGCCATCACATAGCGCCCGCCTTGAACATAAGTCGCCAGCTGTGACCGCCTAGTCAACGCAGGAGCCCAAGCGCATGACCACTAGATGTTGTGGCCACGCAGTATACTTTCTCGATCATCCCTTCACCAGCGTCGATATCTGCTGACAATCTAACACGACGTTTAGATTCGGTACCATGGTGAGAACTCGCGCATAGCAATCCCAGGAGCATCACAATACGCCACAGCCTGCACGTGATCTTGCGAATTCTACACATAGCTGAAACGATTTGCTCTCATCCGAGTGTATCCTAGAACTCTCCTGCCGTGATATCGGCTTAGCCCGTTAGACTACCTCACCCTCGCTCATCTATGGCCACTCTAGCCATCGCATCGCCCATTTGCGGCTCTCTAGACAGTCCCGCACATCCTTACACGCCTAATTATATACAGCACTCTGCTCCAGTTATACGCCGTCGGGACGCTCATCGGCTTTACATTACCCCATTTACTGGACTTCGTGCCCTGCGACCTCCCCGCCGACATCAGAGTCCTCCTATCGCGGAGTGTGCATTGTTCTGTTGCGCGACATGAACTTGTGCGCTCAGTGACACGGCACACCTTACGCGCCTCTTACATGATCCCTCCGCCCTACCCAGCGGCCCTTGGGCGTCCTCGCATCCTCGCTCCTGTGACACGCCTCCAACTCCCTGGCCACTGCAGATCAAGCACCACAGCAGGTACTAGTGCTGCCGCGCCTAGCAGTACAAGAATTGTCGTGAGTGTACCAGATCTTGAATAGTATTTTCTAGCTGCTGCGCCCTCAGTGCTCCCTGTTCGATCGTTCCCACACAAGTCCTGTATCAGCCCTCTATTGAGCGCTTTAAGTCCATGATTGACCAGTGACAGTCAGACGATCCCCACGGCCGAAACCCGGGTGATGTCGTTCACGCTGTGTCTCCCGGTGCAAGTGCGACTCTCGTCGCTAGTGCCTGTTGCTACTCGTCTGTTCACTAAGCGCCACCTGACGCTCTCTGATATGTGTCACTGCCTCTTGTTGCTGTGTGATCACCTCTTCTCTCGTCGGTTGGTCCTGCACTTGAGAGCGCCGACGTGAGCTCTCGTCCTGCCTGAGCTGACTCACGTCGCCCCCGCGACCTCCCCAGCAACCGCTCACAAAGATTGTCTAGTCGCGCACATACCGCATGAGTGTGCAGCGCATCAGTAGCCTCTACTCCGTTGAGCAGAATCGCATGTCACAATGTCGGTGATCCTCTCGCTCTGGGCCCACCTCGGCTCAATGGTTTGGTGGTCATATCCAGCGAAGACTTATGTCCATGCTCATTGTGCATAGAACAGCGCAACGCTAGCCTAGCTAGGCCCGAAAGATCATAACGTCCAAGACATTTTCTGAGTCGAGCCGCTTCAACCTGCTCAGGGACTCATCTGGACGCTGTATAAGGCTGCCGCACGGGATATATCGCGCGTATCTACTAGCAGTTGTGATGTATTCCACTCGCATCATAACATATACACTACGGTTTTTTATCCTATTCCGTCACCTGCACCAACTACACATGATTTCGCAGAGCGTGCTCGGTGTGATTGTCCTGTGCAGTGCCGCAATCTGACATGTCGCGTCGTGATCCGGATATGATACGCGAGCGGCGCAACTCTCGTCAGAGAGAGGCTGCGCTGCACTCGTATATGTATCAAGTCTCTGCTGGGCAGATGTGCCCCCACTGGCCTCCGGCAGTTGTCGATGTCTCGCCATATCGTTGAGGCGGCAGTAAGATTTCTTATCTTACAATAATGGAGGTACGTCCACTTGATAGTCGCATAGCATTTCCTCCCACTCCCCAGGTACGCTGCCGCATCGCCATTGACACTCCTATTCGATGGCAGTCGCCAATCATGCTAGTTCTGGTACTGGATTCTTCTAGAGTTTGAATTGTTGTATGTGCCCATACGGGGGGGTGGCGCTCGTGGGTGTGGCGCGCGCGCCGGCGGGGGGGGGGTGGGTGCAGCGCTATATAGAATATAAATATATTGAGAGATAGATAGCAAACGTCGCCATACAGAAGCGTGATTGGCTCCTGCTGATCTGTAAGATGTGTGTCGCTGTGCTCGGATATGTGCTGATGACTTTAGGTGCGCATGCAACGCATCGCTGGTAAACTAGAACAAGAGCGGCTGGAGCTCTATTACAGCGAACGCTACGACGAGACGAGTTCCTCCTGTATAGGAGTGCAGCATGGTGACACACGACGGAGAGTCCGTCACACTACGAGGCAAACTAGAGGTGGTGTGATCTAGCGCTCGGCTCGACGCTGAGGAAAGTACTGTACTGAGATTGGGGAGGCGCGCAGCGCATATCTTCCACAGACCGATAGACTGAGAGCCACATAAGTGCTGCGCACCGCTTACCATGCAGACAGTCGTTGTGTTGGCCCACGCTACACTATACTCGTACCAGTAACTCGAGGGCAGATGTAAGAATTAGTAGGGCAAGTGGCAGTGATGCTATGCGCTGTCGCCGCACATGGGACGTAGGTGCACTGTAGAATAAGCTGAGATAAAGCTATGCGAGGACACTTGCAGTATGCAGTGGCGAGAAGCGAGGTAAAAGAGCTATTTGTTCGGAGGCATGTAGCTCCATGGTTTTCAATGCCCGTCTGGGCGTAACCCGTTGTGCCGTCCCCACAGGTCTAGCGCTTATCGCCAGCTTCAAGTTCATGAACAACACGTTCTGGTTTTTTATAAATCTAGGATTTTTTTGCGGGAATTCTTGTTGGTGCAAATTGGACATGTGTCATTGTTGCAATTTGTCGATATCCACTTATTTTATTTTTTTAACACGTCCTAAAGGGCTTTTAACGCAATAGCCCTTTTTCCAGTGTCATGTTTGTTGTATCATGCCGATTAAGTATGGCTTATGAACGGGGGGGGGGCCCTGTCCTCACTGCACGGACACACACAAATACACATGGGTCTTATTTTGGCCAATGGGTGTTAGCGTTTGCTCCAGGCTTCTACAACAGGCTAGTTCTGAAAATCTATCCTGTGCAGCGCGCTGCGACAAGTTGAAGGCGTTCCTCATCGTCTATGTGTTGGGGTCGGAACATTGTGTAACCAAAAGTACTGTAGGAGTTGCCCTAGCTGCTGAGTTTCATAGTTTATGATTAGTACAGCCAGTTTAATCACAACTCTCCCCACCCAAACATTGCACGTTTCGTAGTTTGTGGTTTCCTCACTGTTGTTCTCCCAGACTCAAGTGTAGCTACAGTAAGTTAATTTAGCACTTTCCATTCTCGTAACAGCTTCGTGACACCTGTCCATAATTACGGCGGAGGATATGCTGTGACCTGCACGGGGAATACGCACAGCGGACGTGGCTGCACTGGCCATAAACCATCCAGTTAGCAGCCGAGCTCAAGAGCTCCGCATGGGTTGACATCATGTTTGGTTTCGCAGCTGTTAATGAGGGCCCTTGGAGAGCTGCCACAGTGTAAACTGTCTACTAGTGTCATGTTGCCCTCCACAGGTTCAGACACATCGATTCTATTTTGTCTCACTTCAGAGTTCCCTCGCCTCGAGCAAACATGGACCCGCTTACGTCAACAGACCACACAGAGGTCGCCATTTGTAACGATGAAGAACACTCAAGCCTGTGTTCTTGTAAACAGAATAGTCATGCTGGAAATAAGGTTGGAAGCACATGCACAGTTCTCTCAAATCAGGTAGTTAATTATGTTTTGTCACTACAAAGATAAAGAAAATGTTTAGCTCTGTGGACTCACCCACTCGGCAGGTCGGATGCAGTGCGGGGCTGGTGCTGATTTGTCGTACTGGGTGCCGCTCTGACTTGCCACCCCTCCAACCAGCAATGGATTTAAGGGGACGAAGCTGGAGGGGTTGGATGGAAAATAAATGATAACAGTTAAACAACAGATTGACTCTATTACCGCGTGTCAATGGCAACGCAATATTTTATTATGTGCTTGTACCTTTATGTTGTGTTACGAATTACTCCACCCGTCGTCCGCCAGTGTTTGATTATAATAATAGCTAGCCTAGCTGGTACCGCTCTAGCCAGCTAGTGTCGCCACATCATAGAGTCCATGGTGGTGCGCTCCACGTCACGTAGCACACCAAAACGATCATCAACACATTTAAAGGTGTTGTGATACGTCAAATGGCGGTTGTTCACTATTAGTTGTTAAGTTTTCATACCAAAAATCCTGTTTTCCTGGGACAACATGCAACAAAAAGCTGATTGATCGCCGTACCAACCGGCAAGTGTAACCCATTTACCATGACTAAACCTGAGTTAGGCCGCATTTGCCGAATGGAATTGATCATAGATTCAGGTTGAGTACAGTATGTGGGTCACTCCATGGTGATGTTCAAAAAGTCTTGGGTTCAGTGTTTTATGTCGTTCTTTTCCTTGTCACAGAACGTCCAGTTTTTGAAGGTAAACGAAGTAGTTTATGGCTGACTTCAATAAATAAACATTTCGGGCTCTGTGTCATTGGGACGTGAAGTCGGTGCCCCTGCGGATGCGTCATGAACCGATTAATGCCCGCATGTTTATCATTATCGTATACGTAATAGTTATCCAGATTTACTAAAGAAAAATATAAAGATAATTGATTCCTGTTTTGGGTGACATCACAAGCTGCCTTTATAGAATTGTGGAGATGGTGCAGGGTGTGTAAAAAAAATCTTGTCCTGCGCATACTAATTCACCTCGGCCAATACATTGTAAATATACTCCATTTAACCTGTACGATCTCTTGTCCAATCATAAAAATCTATGATTCATAATGATGGTTAGTTTATAAGTTTGGTGCTCAATGAAAGTTAGCCTGTGAGGTTGGTCAGACAAATCCAATCAAAATCAATCTAATAATCTGGGACTACAATTGAACACCTTTGTTGGGTTCATACAATGTTTCTTTCCCCGTT